CACTCTAAATTAATATGTTAACTAAGCACTGTAAAATAATACATAAAAATTCTATACAACAGTGCGAGAACTTCGAATTCCGTTCACCTGATTATATTCAACAAAACTGGTGGAGATAGAGATATAATTGTAGTATATATTGCATAATTTTTAATTTAATCTGACTTCTTGATGATCGCATTGGCTAAATACGTATTTTTTTCATCAGACGCCGAACAACAATATCCTGCCTTTTCCCTTACATTTTTCTAAATAAAGGTCTCAGTTCAAAGCATGAAACCATTTTCATAAGAAAGTACTTAATCATAAAAGTATTCTCATTCTCATTCTGTATTTATGTGTAAAAACTTAAGAAAATTAAGTCTGTTGTGATCAAACAAGAATGAATTTTAATTTTTTAATGCATAAATTAATAAAATTTCCTTTAAAAAGCAAATACCTGAAGCTACGTCCGTGCCGTTAATTTTTATAAAAGAAGCAAATAGAAGAGTCGGTAAATGTAATCCTTATGATTCTTGATTTTAATGGGAGACCTTTTATATAATTTATGGTAAGTCAACTTAAAAGCGAGGCAATCAAAACGTTTCCTAAAAATGAAATGGTCTTGCAACAATAAACAGAAGTTATCATATTTCACTAAAATGTGAGGAATTGCAAATCAGTTAATATAAACATATAATAAATTTCGCAGTAAAGAAATATTAACTTTCATTTTTTAAATTAAACTCATCATTCCGAAAACGTTTAGGTCATTCAAACTTTTTACCTCAAATATTTTATTGTAATAGTCAATCATTTACATTTTGCTCTGAGATGTTGAATAAAACGTACTCTTTCGTAGTTATTGTATTAGAATGGTCGCAACACCATATGAGACACCTTAGTTGTCATTTCGTTAATTTCTTAGGAACTGAGGCAAAAAAGTTCAAGGAAGTAAAGAAAGCGAGAAAAATAATAAAAATTCTGTTATAAAATTAGAGTGTGATTTACTTTGTTTTTCTGAGCGGATGAGTTTAGTTTGTCAGTGAATGAGGAAAGAAGCATTAATGTGGTTATAATTACCTCATGCGTGCATTTTATATGCTTTAGAAACTATTAATTTTAATTTCTTCGTGGTAGAAAATTATTATTTGTTTCTATTTCTTTTTACAGAAAAGAATTGCTGTTCGCTCTTTGTCTGATATACTAAATACAAGAGCGAAAAGTACTCGGGTACATCAGCTACGTCTCAGACTAAAATCAAAGAAATAATCGAAATGCGCCAAATGGAAAAATTGGTCAGATCAGTTTTCAGCAGTAGCAGTCACAAAAACAAAGCACAATTAGAAAATTTCAAAAAGTGCTAAGATGTATAACCTGGACAAAAGGATATTTTTCACACAAAGTCTGAATCCCAAAATGAACTTCCTGCTAGTTAAGAAAGAAGTTTATCATCATATTGAACGCTTTAGGTAATGTTTGCTCTGAAAAAGGAAGTATTAGAAATTGTTCTTGTTTTGTGATGCCAAATATCTTCTAAAATTAATGTGTGTTGTTGTCATTGGTCAACAAAGTCAGCTTGAAGAACTCCGAATTTTTGCAGTTCAGATGGATTTAGTCAAAAATCCGTCCCTAAGTTATAATTTGAGAATAAAATTATTATGACATATTTGAAAATACTAGAAAAATGAGCTGTAAAAAAATCTGAAAGCTTTCAGATTTTATATTATGCCCAAAGAGGCGTTTTTTCCATGTACACACAGAAACACGTTTTGAGAGCACTTAAGCTAAAAAATCCTTTGGGCTAAAAATATTTAAAATACCATTTCTTTAGAATTAATCAAAAATTTGTTAAAGTTTTACAAAATAGGAAATAAACATTAAAAGAAATTCGAAATTCAAAGTTCGGGCTTTCATGTGCCCAAATTCGAGCGGAGGACTACGTTACTCAAAATTGATTGGCTATAAGTAACATTGTTTTTCACAATGAGAGAAACATACATACATTGTTCAATGTAGTTTTGGATTTACATTCTAATGAAATTTTCTTCTAAGAGATATCATTACCCAGAGCCATATGAGACTCAAGGAGATGAAGGAGAGACAACTGAAAGAGATGAATATATCTTTCTCAGATTCTCTCTCTCAAGAGTACTAATATGCTGCTGGTGAAGAGAGTTAACTCATAGTCTTGAAACTTATTCCTGATTCCTTTAAACAGAATTATATGTTGATTTGCAAATGAAATGCAAGTAAAGTACGAATAATATTTCACTTCAATTTATCTTGATAAGTAAAATTGAAAGAATGAAAAATTTTCACATAGTATGGAAAACAATAAACTCAAAGCATCAATCTGAATACGTCGAAAAAATACGTCGATTAAGTCAAAAAAAAAAAAAAGGAAGACCTCTGTAACCAAAGAACCTTAAGAATCAAGAGATAAGAAATGAAAATGAGTTTAGAACTAAATAAATAATCCGTTATATGGTATACAACCGATCAGCCAATAAAACACAAGCCAGAAATATGAACTGAAAAATGGTAACTACTAACGGTACTGCTATCTTTTTCTGAATACTATTTCAATATTTACTGAAACTATACTAACAATATTTCGTTCCAGCTATTACGTTATATATCAGATAAACTTTATGGTTTTCCATTATCAAATTTTACCCTTTAACTCTGCATTTCTCCGGAATGTGAAAACATGTAATCTATTCTCTCATTTTTAAGTATTAGGTGTCTCATAATTTAAATTTTCAATCAAAGGAGACGTTATTTCTTTTAACTCAAAAAAGACCAAACTGATCCTAAGGAAAGATTCCATATTCCTATTGTATGAACTAATAAAAACCAAGTTATTTTCCGCCATAGCGTTAGTAAGGCTAATCTCATTAATTAAGTAAAAAAAATATATGCCGAACTATTAAAAATTTAAAACTAATTAAAAGGTAAAATATGTGTATTCAATATAAATATTGATAAATATATGATGCTGGATTTTTTCCAATTTCCAAGACTTTATTGCTGCCAACAATCTGGTTTTACACAATACTGCTGATGCGCCACCAACATTTGATCGCATATATGCACAGGGCTGGCCGGATTTGACTATTTCATCATTCTCCATAGCACAAAACATTCAAACCTGGCAAGTGGAAGAAACTGAAAGTCTTTCGGATCACAAATACATTACTTTTGACATTAATAGCCCAACTACAACCATGATCATTCGCCGCTATAACCTGCCAAACAATAAAATACGTGCATTTACAAGGACCATAAAGGAGAAAATTGCCTTACTTGAATCATCACTGGATCAAGCACATGATTCGGCAAAAATGGAAGACTTAACAAATGACTTAATGAGAATTTTAAAGAATGTCTGTGATGAACAGTTGCCGACACGCACCGCTAAGAAAATACAAAACATCAGTTGGTGGACGCAGGATTTGCAAATTCAAAAAGAAATGCAGAGCTCTTCGTCGTCGCCTCAAGCAAGAAAGAAGGAACAATATTCAAACAAATACACTTGTGATTTTTCAGAGAGAAAGAGCGGCCTATAAAAAGCTAATTGTGCAATCGAGACTGCAGTCTTGGAGAACATTCTGTACGGAGTCTACTGATGTCTATGGCATACCACATAAGATAGCTACAGAAAAACTCTTTAAACCTACTCAATTTCAGCTAATTACATCTCCTGATCTTTCCAACCAACATACAGCTGCAACTTTTCAGAGTATTTTAAACTCGGTTATATACCAAGACTCTCTGGAAGATGATACAGCTAGTCACACACAAATGAGAATTAACAACAGTACACCTCCAACACCATCCGACGTCCACTTTACCAATATGGAGGTAAAACAAGTCCTAAGACAATTACCAAAAAAGAAGGCCCCAGGCCCTGATGGAATTAATTATGCAATAATGAAAATAGCAGTGGGCGCTTGCCTGCCATTCTTTGTTAAATTATTTAATAAACTGTTACACACAGGCACATTTCCACAGGCCTTCAAAGTTGGACAAGTTGTATTATTCCTTAAAAAGAACCGCAACCCTCAAGACCCTTCGGCCTATCGCCCTATATGCTTGCTACCATCCCTGGGGAAAATTTTTGAAAAAATTGATCATGAATCGTCTTCGCCATCATCTACACTCTGGAAATTATCTGCATCCACGCCAATATGGATTTCGCACAGGATGCTCTACGTTACATGCATTAAATGATATACAAAAGGCCATCTATGACAACCGTAACCATGGCTATCACACGGCTCTAGTCAGCATTGACTTAAAAAGCGCGTTTGATATGCTATGGTGGCCAGCAATAAAGGAAGCATTAAGATCAGTTAACTGCCCCAGCAACATCTTTAAGGTGCTTTCACACTATCTCTCTGACAGACGTCTCATCATTGTTCATAATAGTGGAATATTGGAAAACCAACAAACTATGGGCTGTCCTCAGGGATCCTGTGCGGGGCCACATCTGTGGAATGTTACCTTCAATGATATCATAGCGACATCCTGGCCTGAATATGCAAGCATACATGCGTATGCAGATGATGTAGCATTCATAGTAAAGGGTAAGAGTCGCGATGAAATACAAAGGAATTGTAATGAAGTCTGTGAAAAATTTCATCAACTTTGTCTAGAGCGGAAATTAAAGATAGCTGATAACAAGTCAAAAATTATACTTTTCCCGAAAAAAGGTGGCTCACTTACCAGACAGCCCAGAATTTGCATTAACAATCAACGCATACAAATAGTGAAAACCTTGCGCTATCTGGGAGTCATTTTTGACACCAAACTCACCTGGATTCCGCACCTGCTCAATCTGAAACAAAGAGCAGTGACCATAGCCAATTATCTAAAACAATTTCAAGGCAATAAATGGGGCATCAGTCACCATTTTCAGAAAATCCTCTTCCAAACAGTAATTGAAAAAATCATTACCTATGGATGCGCTGTATGGGCGTCACCAATGCAAGGTCGGAAAAATCAAGTACTTAAACATGATTCAAAGACCATTTGCACTACTGATTACTAGGGCCTATCGTACAACTTCTACGGATGCCTTAAATGTGCTTGCTGGACTACTTCCTTTACACATTAGAATTGAAGAAGAGGCAGCTAGGCAAACATTGAAGCAATTAAGTCAAATTACTCAATACAAAGATGAGATTTATAACCCCTCGGATTATGAAGGATCTCTAATTAATGTTCAAATACATCCAGCCAAGAAAGGAATTGGAGTCCGCATACTGCACCAAAACGCAACAGATCCAGAAGTTAAAGTATGCCTATATACAGATGGATCGAAAATTGATAATGGCGTAGGAAGTGCATTTGTTGCAGTCGCTAACCAAAACATTCTACATACTTGGCAAGGGCACTTGCATGAAAATAATACTGTCTTCCAGAGCGAAATGTTGGCTATAAAAGAAGCATTAACTTACCTAGTAGAACAGCGTCATAATAGAGCTATCATATTTACTGACAGTTTATCCTCGATACATGCGATCAATAATCCCGATCACTCTTCTCCCATTGTAACTGCAATACAAAAGATACTAAGGGAAAACTACAATAGCCAATATTTCCTCAAATGGGTCAAAGCGCATGCAGGTCATGCATGGAACGAATTTGCTGATACTTTAGCAAAGCAAGCGGCTGAAAATCCTACAGAACACAATATAAGGCAGTATCATATACTCTGGCCAATGTCACACTTCAAAAAAAAACACTCAGGCAGAAAGCAACTGACACATGGCAAAATGAATGGAATATCAGCAATACAGGACGAAGGACAGCAGCTTATTTTATTCCAAAGGTGCATCTTGAACGCAATATAGGGAATTCACTGTTAGTCCGATTTGTCTCAGGGCATGGCCCGTTTCCACAGTACTTTGAAAGATTCAGAATTACAGAAACAGATAATTGTGTTTGTGGTAATATAGGCAGCCCGGATCATTATCTCACAGACTGCCCACTCACAGAGCAGCATCACGTTCATTTACCAGAGCTTAATAGACAAGCCTATTGTAAATTTATAATTAAACAAAAATATCTTGTGGAAAAAATAACAAAAATCATGGACAAACTATCTGCGTTAGGCACCGATCTTTGCCAAATAGCTTAGTAACACTGACTATGTTCATGTAATTATGTGCTTGAAAAAAACACCTGCAAGTGAATACACTATCAATCAATTGTCTATTTGCGTGAATATAATAATAAAAGTCATGCACATACCTTCTGCCTTAGGCTTGATCAGTGCCAAACTGTTCAAAATTGCTGAATATGTACTTACATGCTTGAGAATACATTTGAGAATTACTGCATAACTATGTGTAATATTTATCAGAATTACTAGCAGTAGCACTGAATTAGTATTGTAATGTATAATAATTGTATAATTGGTAATGTAATTAGTATTGTAATGTATAATGTAATTGGTAATGTAATTAGTATTGTAATGTATAATAATTGTAATTGGTAATGTAATTAGTATTGTAATGTATAATAATTGTATAATTGGTAATGTTTCTATTATTCATCGTAACATACACTGTAAAGTTTATGTGTGTACTGCATAATTAGTATTATAATGTATTGAAATTGCATAATTAGTACTCTAATGTATAATTGGTAATGTATGAATTGTATAAATCAGTATCGTAATATATAGTGCATGCTGCAAAATTAGTTTTTAAATGTATTATAATTGAATCATTAGTATCGTAACGTATTGTAAAAGTAGCATGTTAAAAAAGCCCCTGTATGGCCATGTACTTATATTTTTCTCAGATATCAACAAACACTGGGACCCGGGCAGTTGGACGGCAGCGAACCCCATTGGCGGCTCTGGATAATGGCGGACGTGGTGCTTTACTGATTAACCATTAAGGTAAAGGGACAGTGCCCACGTCCTCCGTCACTTATCACTTATCACTTTTCTCGATGTGCAATGTTCCCCTTAGAAATTCCTCGAGGATAGCTCCCTTCCTCTTGGGTATATAAACCCTCGCTTGTTTCGTCATCAATCCAAATTCATTAAAGACATCTCCTCTGAATACAATTATGACTATTTCTTTTTAAAAAAATCTCAGGATAAATCTAAGTAAAAACCAAAATCCATTAGCTCCATCTCCTCTGAATACAATTATAATTCTACCTTTTTAAAGAAATCCCAGGATAAATATAGGTAAACATCAAACCACATGCGATTACAAACACTTTTAAGCAGTTAACGGTTTTCAGTGCTCTCCTAAATGTCTGAATATTACATATAAAGCAACCTTAAATTGATATAAAGCTCTATCGGTTTTAAGAGCATTTACACAATCAGGAGCTAACAAATTATGCTAAAATGTGAAGAGTTGTATTTGTATATCGGATATTAGTTAGATTTACAATTAGGTACTCATTGTTTGGTTTTATAACCTTCCATTTACCGTAATGACGATAAGGTCATTAAGTGTGTAAATGGAGCGAAAAAATGTATTAAAAGAAGACAATTTTTACAAAATGACAGCAAATTTCATAAGGGAGTATAAATAGTTATATAACTGAAATAATAAAAAAATATGAAAACTCTTCTGACATTCTCTCAAAGTGAACAATATTTCCGCATAGAAATAGAATATTATAACTGCATAGAAATAGAACATAACAATAATGATAATCACTACTAATCATACTGTCAAAGGCAGCTACCTCGACAGGCGCACAGAAATGTCTAAAGTCGCTCATGAATGTCGCATGTATGCGTCATAATACCAAGAATCTTGTACGGATTATTTTAATTTCTTAATAATTATATTTAATTTTGAAACCCTTCCTTTATCCTTTCGTTTTCTGCTTACAACTTCCTGACAGAATGAGGTTTCAGTATCATGTTTTATGTAAATATGATGGAACCCGTAAGAATGTTGTAGAGATTATTTTAATTTCCTAATAGTTAATTTTGATTTTGAAATTCTTATCTTTATTCTCTCGTTTTCTGCCTACAACTCCCTGCCAGAATGAGTTTTCAGTATCACGTTTTATGTAAATGAGGTGGAAGAAGTATTTATCGGGATTCTCGATCTCTTCGGCAGAAGAGCTCAGAAGTTTTCAGTAGAGCGTGTCCGGCTTTCTGAAAACGTGTACGTTTGGCCGTATTGCTACGTGCCTGTCAGGATTCGCCGGTGAAAATAAAGCCCCACTCGGGTTAATTATTTGTGTACAGCTTCGGCTAAGTTTTAGTTAGTTAGAATTAGTTTAGTTTCTTATTTTCTATTTTAAGTCAAAGCCCAAGTGGGCGCTGCCTGCAAGCCCCGGCCTGAGTGGGAATATTCTTGAGGTAAGATAAAAGGCTATTTTAAAATAAAAAAAATCTGATGTGTACACCAGATGACTTCCTTGTACGGAATATTAAATTATACGCATTTTTTCTTGCATTTCATTTAAACTTATTGGATTGAATTAAATCTACTTCGCCGACAGCGCATAAACCACAACAGAATAAATGCATCCTTTAAAATTCACTCTAGTATTTGTTTACCATAGCGACACTCTGGCGATAGATTCCCTTAACAGTATTATATTTCATTCATAACTCATAATGCACAAAATTTATATCATTTAAAGCATAGAATTATCTAATCTTTGCCACATGTTCTATTCAAATAATATAATAAAGCTAGGATGATGTATAAAAGAAATTAAGACATAAAACAAAAAAGAAAAAGATTTTCACAGACGATTGAGTATTTCTCATTCAATTAATTCAGTTCTCACTTCGCGGGAAGGCAAAAATAATATAAAAACTCAAAATATCTATATTAAAAATTACGAAGTAAATCTTAAACACTTATTTCCTCGAAAAAATTTCAGGAAGGATTAAGCATGATTTAACTGGCAATAATAAATCAAGGCCTTATCTTTGTTGTTGTGAAGCTAAGTTTCTCTAGATTGGCAACAAATCCACTAGTCTTCTGTTTCAAATGTAAACAATCAATGGCCGCCGTCAAAAAAAAAAAAGGCTTAGCGGCACTTAGACAACTTTAAAAATTGTTGATAATTCTAAAAATATTGCACATAGATTTACTAAAAAAAAAAAAAAAAGAAAAAAAAAAAATAATTCAATGATTTTTTAAAGCAACAAATGTACAATTTACAAACATATAAGAGTAAAGAAACTGAGATCGCTCAGCCGGGTAACAGAGTGGATATATATAAACATTTGGTGCGGTCGATTGCAACCAAAATACTAGGTGCACATCTACATGTTATAGCAGTCCTATATACAAAATTTCAACGTTCTGAAGCTACTCGTTTTTGAGTTATGCGAGATACGTACGTACGTACGTACGTAACGTACGCACATACGTACATACGTTCGTACGGACGCCACGAAAAATTCTGTTCAGAATTAATTTTAAAGCAGTTTTATAATTTTTTTTGCAGGAAACTAGTCTTTTATTCTGTCCTTACGTACAGATATCACGCAAAAACATCGTTAAGTAGCATTTGATAGCGGTCAAAATTGAAATTTTCGTTGAAATATGCTGCCTGAAACTTTTCGCGATACTTCCTTTTTACTTCGTACAAGGAATTAAAAAAAGGTGATGTGTACACCACGTAACTCTTTGTACAGAATATTAAATTATAGGCATTTTTTCCAGCATTTCATTTAAACTTACTGAATTGAATTAAATCTCCTTCGTCGATAGCGCATAAATCACAATAGAATAAATGTATTCTACGTAAATTCTATGTAAATTGTAGTGAATAAATAAATTCACTACATTTATTAACCATAGCGGCACTATGGCGCTACGTCCACTTAACAGCGTTACATCTCATTCATTTTATAATTCAGAATGCACAGACATTATATCATCTGAAGAATTATCTAATCATTGCTACATTTCTATTCAAATACTATAATAAATCTAAAACGATGTATAAAAGAAATTAGACAAATAAAAAAGAAACAGTTTTTCAAGGACGATTCAGCGCCGCTTACCTAATGCGCAAGCGCTACTCGTAAACATTCGCCTCTGTTCGAGACAGACTGGCGACAATATTTGCTTCTAATACGAAGCTCTTATTTCCTCGAATTTGATTAGAGATACGTTTCTCATTCAGTTAATTCAGTTCTCTGTCGAGGCAAGGCAAAAATACATAAAAACTCAAAATATCTCCATTAAAAATTGAAAGATATAGAAAAACATAAAACACCAAATACAGTTAAAACAGCTAAAAAAAATTGTAATTAAAATTAGAGTTCCTACGCAGAAACACATAATTCAGCTAGCGGGGAAGAAGGCAGATTTTTCGGCGCACAATTCCAGAGCTCTGTGGTTCCATTCCCGGAGATGTCGCTTGCTCAATTTTTCATCTTTCCTACTTCCAAAATACCTAATGTCTCTACAACCTCACTTAAACAACTTTTAAATTTTTGATAATTCTACAACTATTGCACAAAAATTAATTAAATGCATACAAACTTTAAAGGGAAGATAAGAACAATATAATTCAGTTATTTTTAAATCAAAAATGCGCAGTTTACCAGTATATAAGAATAAAAAATCTGAGCTCACGGAGCCGAGTGATAGAGTAGTATATATATGTAGGTATACATTTATATAGTTTTGGTGAGGCCGATTGCAACCAAAAAGGGAGGTGCATAACTACATGTTATAACTGTTCTATATAAAAAATCTCAATGTTCTGAGGCTACTCATTTTTTAGTTATGCGAGATACATACATACATACGTATGCACGTACAGACGCACATACGTACAGACGCCACGAAAAAATCTCTTCTGAATCCAATTTAATTCAGTTTTTGAATTCGTTTGAGGAAAAAGAGTTCTTTATTCTTTTCTTACGTACAGATGTCTCGCAAAAACATCGTTAAATTGCATTTAATAGCCATTAAAATGGATATTTTCATTGTAATATGATCCCGGAAGTTTTCGCAAATACAACACTTCCTTTAATTCGTACAATGAAGTTGTTCTTGCAGTTTTAAGAAGTCAGCAAATAGTCGCTACACACTTCTCAAGTATTCTGGTTACCAAGGATGATCTTTTTAAATAGAATCTTATAACGTTATAAAAATAATGCTTATGTAATATCAGCAATTTACAGAATTTTCCAAAATGTTTTAAAATATAGTAGTTAAGAGTTGGCAAAAAAGCTGTTTGCTTTAAAACTTTTATTAGTTCACTTAGGGTGTTAGTCGCTATGGTTAGAAGATCATCATCGATTTATAAACTACTTCCTGGTAAGCTATCGAATTCAAATGTTGCACACACTCTTTGAAGAAAATATAATTGGGTAAAGAGAGTTTTGTAAAATTCTCCTTAGGTATTTTAAAATTTAATATTGAATCGATTTTTTGTACGTATTTTCATTTAAATACCAAACTAAAGATTTCAAAAATTTAATGTTTGCACCATTGTACAGAGCGCAAAATAATTTGGCAAATAATATTTGTATAAAATTTTTAACTTAATTTATGATTTTTGGTGAAATTTTTGAAAATCGAATGATTTGTTTTTTTCCACTCGACTATTTGAGAATTATTAGAGGTAAAAGACTGATTATTAATTGGCGAAAAATTATACTTCAATCGAATAATTTAATTGATATCGTGCCATTAAGACTACAAAGAAAAAAAAATCGAAATATTAAAAAAGTGTTTTATAAACTAAGCTTTTATTCAAAACTCATAAAATCCTTAATGAAACCAAAAGGGGAAAAAGAGTTTACTGTAGTGTTTAAATTGCATTAAAAAAAAAGAAGTGGGTGTAGAACAGGCCACGAATTTGTTAAAATACAAAATACGGTGCAAAATTATTCTCCTAAAAGCAACAACTGGCCAGGTAAAAGTGAAACAATACACAACTATACAGCAAAAGGAAAATGCAAAGAGAAAAGATTTAAATATTTAGAAATATTCACTTTATCGATCGCCCCCTCTTTAAGCCACCCAGTAAAGGCATTTTAAACCATAAAACTGGATGAAGCTGTCCATATATTATTACGCAAGCAACGTTCTTAAGAACAAATATTTAATATGAGAGATATTTTCATATTAATTTTATATTTCTTATGGCCCCTCTGTCGCTGAACGCTGGGAGTTCGAATTTCGGCGAACGGGCTGGTTGCATGAGCGTTTACGTGGTCTTGGGAGTGTGACGATTAGACACATGCAACCCCTCGGACTTCCAGGTGCTTAATGAGAACTTCCTGTTTTGATCAGAGACAAAATGGACAGCAGAACTTTGAAGAAATGTGCAGCGGAAACCCCCTCGTGGGTTTCCGGCAATAAGGGACTAATTATTTTCTTTCCAGGTTTATAACAAAACGAGGAGAGAGTATAAAAAGTTCTTTGATGATGTAAACGAGAGGAAACGGACGTACTTTGGCGTCCTCGCCGCGCCAGTGGCTTTTGTTTAATTTATGGCTGTAATGAATCAGTTACTTTATTATTTAATCAATAATTTGTAATTAAGTTTTTAAAATAAATATTTTAAAAGACAACCTGTCTTTTCTTGCAGCCAGCACGGGTGTTCTGACGTTACAGGAGGCTTTTCTTTAGCTTTTTAACGTTTCGTCGTATTTAACGGTAAGTTTTTATCTTTTTATCATTTTTAGCTTTTAATATAAATATAAGAGGCACCTCGGCAGCTTTCAATTTCAAAATTTCTCTGGTTTAGCTAATTTCACACGCTTTCGAGCCGCCATTTTTTTCAGGTTTGATGTACTGGACATTTCAATTTGTTGTTTGTTTGTCAAGATTTACCGCTTGTTGTAAATGATTGTAATTAGTTCATTTGGCCTTTTCAGAGTGTTCGCTTTTTAATTTTTCAGATTACTGCATCAAAAAATTATTTAGCGCTTTTCATTTCAATCTTTTTATGTATTTTTGCATAGTATTTTTTATTTTTTTTTGTTTCTGCTTAAGTATTGTAATTTTTGATGTCTTAAGAGTTATGAATGCAAGTCGGGAAAAGGTCTGAATATTTGAGAACTTTTGAAAGTTATTTTAAATTGAAAATTTATTTCAAAATTTACGACCCTGTATCTCAAATGTCTCAGAGGAACGAAACGTGTATTCGGAACTCATTGATCAATTCGGTTCCTGGCTTCAAAACACTTTTCCCTTGATAAGTTCTGTTTGAAGCGTTGAAGTGAGGAGATCAATATTTAATTTTGCTCATTTTACTATGCAATGCTTTCCATATTTTAATTTTTTAATTTTTACATGTACTACCTTCAGGTACGACTTTCTTAAAGGTACAAAATGGTTAGGACCTTCATTGGATAAGAAGTGTAAACTTGCATTTAAGCTACAAATATTTTCTGTTCTTTTTTTTAGAAAAATTGCTTGTTTTTCGAATCTGCAGCAATTGCGCAGGTCATCTATTCGTTTTCAAACTTTGTTTTAGTAATCTTTTAAGAAAGCTTCGACTAATGACTTTTGGGCTTGTATTATATATAAAAGAAATATATAAATAGGCTAAAAAAACCGAATTCTTTTTATTGGTTTTTTTTAACCTGTCCTGCACTCTAGCTGTGGGATTGAAGTAGAATAAACTTAAAGCATCTAAATTAATTAGTAAAGTGGAATAAAAGCAAGGCAATTCCTCTATAATATAATAATTGCAACCTTGCGTTAATTTTTATTTGTATAATTTTGTATATTTTCCCTTTCGTATTTTTATTTTTCGAGATTGTTCTACTATGGATTCTCTCTTTAATTGGATTAGTTTTGATATTATGTTAAACCTCTCATACACGGTTGCAATTATTATATTATAGAGGTTGCCTTACTTTTATTCCAATTTCCTAATTTATTTAGGTGCTTTAAATTAATTAGGAATAGTAGTAATTTTAAAATATAGAGGCATTAGGTTATTTCGAAGCAGTAGATGTGAAAAATGAGCAATGCCCTTGCTGAGACTCGAACCACGGACCTCTCGAATACGCGTCAAGCGCGCTGACCACCATACCACGAAGGCATACTAAGAAGGTGGTAAAAATACCTTATATACTCCCCCTTTTAAAGGGCGACTTGGGTTTTAGGAGACTCAATCGCCAAATCCTGGGGTGAAGAATCATCATTCACCACCTAAGTTATCAGCTGAATATGCTAAACACGCCAACCATAATTCTCTAAATAAACAATTTTTCAATTCAAATTATGAATCACAAAGGAAATTTGAATTTCTGATCGGAGTTCAAAAAGACAATTTAAAACTTTGCCTCTGGATAACCACATTACTTCGGAATGTAAAAAAAAAGCACTTTATATTCACTGCCAATCTTTTGGCATAAAATAGTAAATATTCTTGAATTTAAAGCTTTGCTTTTAATACCAATTTTCACAGCTTAATTCAAAACACTTTTCAGGTTTTTGGGGATTGTTTTGGCTGCTAAAGCTTCACGATGAATAGAGCAGTGAGTAAATTTAGTGTCAGGGGGTGCGACTTTCTTTATTTGAGAAATGACACCGGTATGTTTTCTTGTGTAAAGTCCGAGCTGTAATTTAATATTCCGTGCAAGGAAGTGGCGTCTTCCGAATTTTTTTTTTCTGAATAAACACGCGCTATCATTTACCGAGAACTAGTATAGACACGTGTTGTGTCTTGTCATTCTTGTTTTTTTCTTTGCTTTAAAGAAGATTAACCCTTTTTTTGCTTAGTTCTTCCAAATTTCTTTTCTTTTCTTGAGTAGTTATCTGCTGGAAACTGAATAATAAGTGAAGCGTGAAGAGAGTTATGTTCTGAGCTAGTTTATTAGTTTCTGCAATTTTACTTTTTTCCACAGTTCATGCAAGTGCAGATGGCGAAAGGTCAATCATGTTATGCAACTTGATTCTCGTCGCGCTTACTCACCCTATCAGTATAGTAGTTGTTTTTATGACACTCGGCTTTATTTTGCCGAATTGCCTATTGCCTATTGGGTATTACGAGTATGCTGCTAAACTGCTTATGATTTTTTAGTATCTGCATTCACGTTTGAAATAGTTAAAAGATGGTATTTACGAAATGAAATAGAACCTTCAAAGAAAGCTGTGCTGATAACAGGTGAGAAATTTGTCATCGTTTATTTGTTAACTACAATTTTATGTGCATTCTTATAGCCAAACAAATGCGAAGATACTACATGATGCTTTAATTTCAATTAATGAATTAAAGTTACAGAATAAATAAGCTAATTTGAACTTTGTTCAACGAAAAGATTATAGCATTTATATCACCGTGTGGCAAACTTAAAACCAATTTTCTTTAGGTTGTAGAGTCCTTAGGTTAATTGGAAGCAGAAAAGATGAAAAATATGCAACGGCCTTTCCCGGGAATAGAACCACGGACCTCTGGAATACCGGCCCAGCGTGCTACCGTTACACCACGAAGGTACGCTAGGAAAGTGGGAGAAAATACCTTATATACTCCCCTTTTTAAAGGGCGACTAGGGTTTCAGGGGACCTAGTCGCCAAATCCTGGGTGAGAAGAATCATCATCCACAACCCTTTTAGTTCAGGCGCCACTTGTAGAGTCATTAGGATTTTTTTAGAGGCAGAAAAGATGAAAAATAGCAAACGCCTTCGCCGGGAATCGAACCACGGAACTCTGGAAATACCGGCCCAACGTGCTACCGTTACACCACGAAGGCACGCTAGGGAAGTGGGAGAAATACCTTATATACTCCCCTTTTAAAGGGCGACTAGGGATTTAGGGGACTTCGTCGCCAAATCCTAGGTGCGGAGAATCATCATTCACAACCCTTTTAGTTCGGGCGCCACTTGTAGAGACATTAGGTTAAAAGCCGGGAAGCAGAAAATATGAAAAATTAGCAAACGGCCTTCGAGGGAAATCGAACCACGGACTTCTGGAATACCGGCCCAGAGTGCTACCGTTACACCACGAAGGCACGCTAGGAAAGTGGGAGAAATACCTTATAAGGTAACCTATTTTGTTTTCACTACTAACACACCTATTTATCATCATATCTAATCTTTTAATATCTAAGTTGTTTGTTTCATTAGTTCGCAGTTAAAGGCTATTTCCTGTAATTTAGTTTTCGGAAAAGCGTTTCTTAAAATATTTCAAAAAAGAATTTTTCTAATTCTTTTGCTTCAATGATTTAAGGTTAGTTTTACTAACTATTTAATTATGTTCAGTATATGTATAACTAATGAATGCCAGTTTCTCGAAGGCTATCTGCGTAAGAAGAGTTATGCCTTCGTGGAGGATTTTACTAAGAAAAACTAACTTGTATCCACTTTACATCGTCTCTCCTTATTGTTTCTCCAGAACAAAATACTGACTAATGAATTATATTCTACTATAACACATACTATTGCATTCTTACTATTCAGTAAGTTTATATAATTCTGAATCTAAATCAGGAAATGAGATATTGCTCTATAGAAGCTAGAATTTGATAATGAGTGGTGAGAACGTTTTATTTTATCTTGCTTTTTGTCTGATGCAATTTTTTTTTCCATCAGCATTTGCAATTATTATTACGCTTATTGTACACTTCGCAAAAAATGGACAGTTCTATTTCTTCCGTTCTACTAGGCCAATTGACTAAATTCAGCTTGGTTATTTCATGTCTCGAAAGCGCGACTTAGGATGTATATTAAATTTATATATAGTGTTGTTCTAACATAGATATTTCGACACAAAATCTGACTTTTTCTGAAATAACATACCAATGTTTTTCCATATTTCGTTTCTTCTACTCAAATTATGCCAAAGTGCCACATATTATAAAAATCGCACGAGTAGTTTTTAAAAAATTAGGTCTCAAAATTTTAGCTCCTCCATTTGTGAATATCTCTTTTTTTTATTAAACTTCTTGGATTCTTCCTTTCACATTTCGAAATTTAGGTTCATTCCAGATAAAATTCTCCCATTTTGTATGATTTATTTCTAATATTTGTAATTTAAAATAATTTTTATAAATTTGTCGAAAAAATTTTGAATTACAATATATAAAAGTTTTACCATCATCTTAAAGTAGATGTATTTCTGTGCATACTTGCATAAAATTAGAGTTTTATAGTCAAAATTGCCAAAGATATACGTGAATTTATATAGAGAGTTTTAAAATTTAGCATATTTGTCATAAGTGATATAATAACGCCAAATGTGCTTTACGCACTTTGTTAGAATTATTTGAAAGTATGAACGTTGGACCTTTTTTTTTCCGCTCGTGTACAAAGAAAAAAGGCAAAGGAAAATAAGTTGCTATAAATTAAAGAAATTCGCCATGAGAATTATTCTTGCCGCAAACTGAAATAAATGCGCTAAGATAAATTTTTAAGTTTCTCTATAAATTTCGCACTAAATTGTACAAAATATTAAGCATAATGTAGTTTTAGAATCGAAATGTGAAAAAAATAACATGTCATTTCAGAAAAGGTAAGGTCTTGTGTCAAAATACCGATATTAGAACAATGCTGTACGTAAATCTAATATATATTCTAAGTCGGGCTTTCGAGACGGAAAAAACGCAATTTGAATTTCGTCAATCGGCCTAGTAGAACGGGAGATATAGAACGGTCCTTTTTTTTCCGCAGTGTTCATTCTACAAAGTTGCTATTACTGTATGAAATAAGCTCTAAGCAATGTGTCACAGTTTTGAAAAGGAAAGAGCTGTTCGGATGGTGTGTATGGGTGACACAATTCAGTACCGTAGGACTGGAGAAGAATGATTATTTTAATAATTTCTCATTTCACCTGCTTGGATTTTACTAGGTACCACTTTCAAAGGTTAGCGTACTGTGATATCCGGTCGAATTCGACGATATAATGATAAGAATTCCATCTTTTTGTAATTTGCATTAAGAGAAAGATTTCTTTTGTAAAAAGACGTTCATTAACGGACAGGGTCAAGTCAAGTCAAATACTGAGTTAGGAAGAATTAGTTCTCTCCCTGTCGTATTTTACTTGTGGCCAAATTCGTGGAATCTCCTGCCTCGAGGGACATTATCCCAATCAGTTTCACATTTTTGTTCTTTATATATTTCATCTGATTCTTAAGATTTGATTTTGTCCACTTTATGTCTAAGGTCGGGGTCATACCATAGGGAGTCGTGTATGAAGACTGTCATGCAGTCAGCCCATTTGCTGGGATTGAATCCCAGGCTAAACTACCCGGTTTCAGTGACTTGTTGCTCGGGGGGCGTTTTAATGGAATAAATCGTTTTATTTCAAAGACAGTCGGATATTTTTCTCAAAGTGCGAGACAGAGCAGCAAGGCCCACCAGCGGCCGAGCGGTAAAGTTGCTGAACACTGGTAGTTCGGTCCGAGGTTCAAATACCGCGAAATGGCTAGCTGCAAGGGCGTTTTCGTGAATTTCCCCATATGTAACGTGTATCCGAGACAATTTCCCATAGAATATCGTCTATGAAGCATCTCTTCCCTTACTTAGATAGCCTTCGAGGCTTTGCCATAATCACATAAATAAATAGATAAATAAAAACAGATAAGCATTTTCTCTCTTTCATGTTCCATGTAAGCTTTTTGTAACTTTTGCACTGCTGTCTACCAGCTAATTAAAAATATCCTATTTAAGTTTGCAAAGCAAGTAAAGTAAATGTTTCTAATATAAAAATAATGCGTCGAAAAGTTTTACTTTTTTCTTAGTTCTGTATTGTCTTATAAGTTATTTCTCCCACCTTCCTAGCGTGCCTTCGTGGTGTAGTGGTTCTGCACGCTGGACCGGTATTTCAGAGGACCGTGGTTTGATTCCCGTCGAAGGCGGGTTTCTAACTTTTTCTTGCTTCCAAAAAATACCTAATGTCTCTATAGTGGCGCTTGAACTAAAAATGTGTTAGATGATGATTCTCCTCACCCAGGATTTGGCGATTGGGTCCCCTAAAAACCCCAGTCGCCTTTTAAAAGGGGGTGAATATAAGGTATTTCTCCCGCCTTCCTAGCGTGCTTCCGTTGTGTAGTGGTTCTGCACGCTGGGCCGGTATTCCAGAGGTCCGTAGTTCGGCGAAGGCAATTGCTCATTTACCTCTCTCCTGCTTCCAAAAATCTTAATGTTTCTACAGTCTTACCTTTTCTATTTTCAGATACATTATGTAAAAATATTTGGTAATTGTAAAATTATTGTAATAAAGTTAAAGAAATATCAGAACTGCTAAATTCTTTGGCGATCCCCTGCTGCAGGTCTCGCGACCCACAGTTTAAGAAACGCTAGTTTATACCAAACTTTCTCGATGCTGAACGCTTGAAGTCGAAGTATACATGTAAAATATATAAATTTCATAATTATTATAAAATCTGGAAATCGACTTATACTTTACGCCGACTTGTGAGAAAATACTCTACTAATTTATTTATTTTTGCCTCATTTCTGAACACTAATTTAATTTTCTTGGAAGATAATATAGTGGCGCGTGGTGTTTTTCGTTGCTGCAGGTATAACAACGATATACTTGACTGTATGCACATTAACATTTTTATTAACGTTAAAAAATACATACAACACACGTCCACTAATAACAAAATAAACATTAGATGTATGTTACTCGACATAAGAATTTTACAGGTAGTAAATCCATGTTATCATAAGCATTCAAGTTGTAATAGAATTTCGCCGGCATCACGTGACAGAAGAGAGGTGAGTTCGTTGTTTCACCGATGGCAACCAGGAAGAGAGTGTAGAGCCGGTCCAAATTTTCCCTTACTGGACAAGAGGAAGAAAGCTGGTAGAGCCCTCTTTTGGGTCAGCGGACACACAAAGAGTTCCGCACAATACCACTAACAAAATAAGCTTACAGATTTCACAACTGCAAAGTTTTCTTCGGTCTAAATATTCCTACTTTTGGACTAGTACGTCGTATTCATAATGTCTGATAACTACCTGTCAACGAGAGGAGGGAAGGGTATGTATTCTCAAATGGTATGTATCTACCGTTCCTCGTATAAATTACGTATTCATTCTTCGAAACACTTTCCTTTGATGGCATATGTAGACCTGAATAATGTTAAATGAAACAAATTCTGTAAACAATTATTACCACCTGCAATATTGTGTAATTGCAAACGTATATTTATTTCAGGATGTGATAGGGGATTTGGCTATTACTTGGCGAAACGTTTCGACTCCAGAGGATTTCAGGTGTTTGCCTGTTGTCTCTTTCCCATGGGAGAGGGTGCTTCTGAATTGAAGAACAGCTGTTCCGAAAGACTTCATGTGTTGGGGCTTGATGTTACAAGTGATGACAGCGTTAAAGAGGCTTCGATATATGTTAAAGAAAACTTAGGCACATCTGGTAATAACATTTTAATGTAATATATTCATCTATAACAACAATGACTTGTGAAAACTTTCTTCTAGTGAAGCTGCAGTTTTTTCGGCGTGCTGAATGTGAAAATGATTTTATATTTTTCCACCACACAGAGTTTCATTGAAATTAATGTTTATTCGTTCTTAACTGGCCTATAGACTTTCGGAGTCTAGTGATTTTAAATTAGCAGATAAATCACATAGTATACGAAAGTAATATATATATATATATATATAACGTATGTCCATCATAAACTGAACACTGCGGCAAAATGTTTAAATTTGCCACGATATAAATGTTCAAATACTCGCACACTTTATGGGGCTACTGACAGTGAAGTATAAGATAAATCATGTCAACGTTAGCCGGAAGTACACATTGTGCTATTGTATTCTTTGTCAGTTACTTCCTGTTGCTAGCAAAGAAGTGAGCTCAGGCGTTGTGAATATTTCCTTAAAATGTTGCGTGACGTTCATCACGTTGTACATACTTCAGGTTATTTTCAGACTGGAACGTGAAAACTGTGCAATTCCCTCGCCGGGACTCGAACCTGGACATCTCGAATACGCTTTAGTGTGCTATCGTTGCATCACGAAGGTAGGCTAGAATCCATAGGGATAATAAATCCAAAGGAAAGTGATTCAAGCTATGATCGAAGTGGGATAAAAAAACAGAAGAAAGTTACGACATTTGAAACGGAAAAATGAATGTTTTGCTATATTTTGCCTTGATCGTGACTAGTTTTGATCATGGTCACCAGAGTCCTTCGATTTATTTCTTTATCTAAATTTACTTTCTTTCCTCCAACAGCGGGGCAACTGATCCACTGAGGCAGTGAGCATATCATCCAGGTGGTTCCGCTAACGGAATTAACTTTGCTACAAAGTGCTAAGCCTATGTATAGCGGAGAGGCAATATCTCCCTTTTTCTCAGCAGTGAACTTATGGGTTGACAGCCTGAAACTCTAGGTCACCAAAGACGACCGGAAATTTGACGGTCATCAATAGCCAAATTCAATTTAAATTTAAACAATATATCTAAATTTATTGCACTTCTCACATTAATAAATCACTGATTGCTTGCTCCTGAGTGACGTTCATTTTCATCACAACAATATATTCTTCTATTTAATTTTAATTGAAAATATATCTCTATTAACTGCCCCCCCCACTGGTGATCCATTAGTTGAGAACAGTGGCCACCAACCTGCAAGTCACCCTTGCGAAAATTTTTGTTACTGGTAATCAAATGTTACAAAGGATAGCGACGCCATTCAGTTAAATTTTATTTTGAAAATATATCTAATCTAAATGCACGTGTTCATATCGATAACTTACAAATTTTCTGTTGTGGTACACATTACTTCCATGCTGGAATCGACAGCGAGCGGTTGTGGGAGCAATTTACTGATTTTTTTTATAGTTCTTGGGTGAGTCTATTGCACAGAGACACAGGATTTTGAGATCCCTTTTTTTGCCATCTTACGCCCCGGGAAGTTTTCTATTCACATAGATAATTATTATATCATCGAAAAGTTCTCATTCAGACAAACACAATAATGATGTTATATTCTCTTTGAGTAATTAAGAAATAATTGCTTTTCTAGGCGAGTTTCTACGTTATAGCGAATAAGATGAATTGGAAAAACATAAGTGAAGTGCCGTCCTATTTCGTATTTTAAAGCCATCATCAAAAAGTGTATATTCATCCCACTTCAACAATTCAACTATCATTAGCTATATCGGAAAGTGTTCCTTTCAGAAAGTAGTCGAGTGTATTTGTGTGATAAGTGTTAGAGTTTACGCAGTAATATTAAAATTAGTGCCACTTATTGACGGATTTTCGGGATTAATGGTATGCCGTTCGAGCAAGAAAATGGCCCTCATGGGCCTAAAAGGCAGTATTTTGACCAACAAGCTAAACGTATATCACACAGTACTTCTAAGCCTCGACCTCTGAAACGCATTCAACACTTTCTGCCTGCGATTCTGCATTCCTTGCGAAATAAAAAATACCTTAGTAACACCTATTTCATTTTCAAAAATTACCTGAGCAATGGACAACACATCGTAATACATGGCATTGACCTCATCACTGAAATACCGGATAGAGGTTGCCCACAAGGCTCACGTGCTAGACCTAACTTGTGGAACCTGACTTTCGAAGACACTGTTAATGTAGAATTGCCTAGTCACACTTCAGTTATTGCTTACACCGATGATAAGGCTTTCATAATTAGATGGGGGACACTTCAAAAAAACAAGTCAGCTCTTCTGTGAACTCTGCAACCAAATCAAGCTTCACATATCCGTAACAAAATCCATGGCACTCATAATCCCTAAAAATGGCACCAAACTAACAAGTATACCCAGAAATTAAAGAACATAGAATTAAAATCATCAGCACATTCAAAAACCTTGGACTGACATGGGATCCAAGTCTTACATAGATATCCACGTATAATGGACCTCAAAAATCAGAAGTTAAAAAAATGTGTACAAACTTCAACAATTCCAAGGTGCCAAGTGGGGCTTGAACCCACAACTACAAAATATTCTCTACACAACACTTGCTGAAGTAATCACAACCTATGAAGTGTCAGTCTGGTCAGCCCCAATGCGAAGTAGAGAAGTAAAACATCTTCTAAGCATCTAAAGACCGTTTGCCATTATCAATACACGTGCCTACAATATAACTTCTACAGCTACAGCAAATATCCTCACGCCACTGCGCATACAGACAATTATAACTGCTACACTACAGACGGTTTTCCATTTAAGAAAGTAAACGTCATCCAACAACACATGGTTCCACCCTTATGCGTACGAAGCATCAGGCAATAATTTTTACATTTACACGGCTATCAGATGAGTTTGCAACATAAGTATACATCTGGAACAACAGTCTACCGATTCCAGTACTAAGTTTTAGTACTGCATTGACGGTTCAGGACAAGATAATGGAATTTGGCTGCGCCTTTCGTCAGTACAATAATGAATAAGAATCATATACATGGAAAGCACAGCTTTCATCCAAAAATAGCATTTTCCTGTTAGATGCGCACTTACTAGCAATGGCAGTAACTCATGCAGTAAACAATAGGCACTACAACGCTATAGTTTCTACAGCGATAGCCTTTCAGCGCTACACGCCAACTTAAATCCCGTTCACAGTTCTCATACCATGAGTAATATTCTAAGGGACTTATTGTGCAGGCAAGCCTCCACATTTATTCAACATTCTGTTCAAGTCTGTTCACTGCGACCGCTCAATGACAGAGCGAGATTGACCACTACAACCGGTTTTCTGTCTCTTCTGCTACTAGACTCCGAAGGTGTCGGACGGGCTTCTGTCCATCCTCACCGCCGTTGATGATGTCTGCAATTTTGTTCCTTTTTCGTGCCTTTCTGACGACCATCTCCATATAGTTTCAAGAGAATGCATTTTGTCGAAAAAATAATAGTAAGTGATATAAAGATTCAACTAAAATTGATCTAGATGCTGACTTCTGCGGTAAATGAAAGATGTTTTACCACTTGAGACGTTCTCGAAAGGAATTCCCATGCACGTGTTGCATCGGATGCTAGACTTGGCCTTGTGTTTCCACAAAAATATACTGAAATAATGCATTTGTCGAAAAAATAATAGTAAGTGATATGAAGATTCAACTAAAATTGATCTAGATGCTGACTTCTGCGGTAAATGAATGATGCTTTACGATTTGAGACGTTCTCGAAAGGAATTCCCGTGCACGTGTCTCGGCTCGGATGCTAGATATTGGCCTAGTGTTTCCACAAAAATATACTGGAATAATAATTCAAATCAAAGTCCTTCGCTATAAAAATTGAATTTTGTTATCATGTAACTTTGTGTAAAGAAGATGAACTGAGATTTTTTAGATTGGAACTTTACGCATTTTGTGTACGAAGGGCTAGGACTCAAAACGGTAGGACTGATTCTTACTGCTGCAGTGGTTTGCCGTCTATTGTCTTCTTTCTGGATATGTTTTCTTGATTTATACTAGTATTAATTTAAATTTTCACGATGTCAGGATATAATAAATTTATCGTAATTCACATTATTTGAAGTGTCATCCTTTGGGGGTAAGTTACTTTAATTCTATTTTTTTTTTTTTCAGATCACACATTTCATCCTCCACGTTTGGTGTTAATATAACACTTATGGCGCTTCAGACACCTTAATTTTCCCATCCAATAGATAAAGACACACATCGTAAATAAAGGAAAAAAGCGAGCAGATTTATTGGCAAAGGAGGCAGCTTGCAACATCAGCTAATTCGCAACATCTGCCTCTACCATGCTGACACCTCAAAAGAGTCGTCAATAATTTGGCTAAAGCGAAATGGAAAGACGAATGGGAACATGCACTGCAGAGCCGTCGCGTCTTTCTATTATTTCCCAAAGTTAGCAATGAAAGATGCACTCCCACAGCTCAACTCGCTATATTACAGATCATGGCCCATTTTCAGTTTATTTTCATAAACGATGCCTAAGCAATATGGACCAATACGTCTGCAGTACGACGGGAAATCCAGAATATTACCTGAAGAACGGTTTACTGACATCCAGCCCCATAGTTGCCTAGACAAAACAGATGACAAAATTCCTTTCCAACACTATATCCTCAAACAAAAGGCGTTCATTACAAAAATCAAGGCTATCCTGGATATTCTGGCAGCACACGGGCTGTATCTGTGTCATGTCACTTAATTTTGTCTTTTTCTGCAGTTGCGCAGTACATCTCCATAAGCAATGTGCAGTTGCTTTAACATCACTCCCATTACTATTCTTTTGCATTCCTTCATAAACCACAACGTTAAGTGGTCTCTAGCACAGCGAGGAGCGTAGGACTACACCTCTGAAACATTCCAATATGACAGGAAAGTATTGGTGTCTCAGTCTTCCGTTATCTGTTAATCCCTGTAACGTGCCACACCGATAACATATGGATTGATCCGAAATTATCATTAAGTTTTCGGTGACCAACAGCCTTGGTGTTTGGAACACATCCTTGGCACAACATTGGTGGTCTTCGACTTCCTTTTGATATAAAAGTGCTCTTAATTTCTTTTCGCAGATTTATCTTTGGAATGGTGTTTGGCGGAAGTTTTTCAAAATTTCTGGATCTTTATTTCTTTAACTTAGCCTTCGAATTACATCAGTCTTCAGCTTCTTAAGACACAGATAGATTTAAAATCAACAAAAGCATATATCATTTTAATAACTTTATATTTCTTAATGGTATAGCTAAAGGCCATAAATTAAAATTCATTAAAATAGATTATTGCAATTGAAAAAGGACTTTGTGAGATCATATATTATGTCTTTGGTACAAAGTTATTTGGTTTTAATTTATTATTATTTTTTACTTTTGATATCTGTATCCTAAAACTTAGTGATCAAATAATCTTTTTAATTTTAAATGCAAAAGTATATGTTAGCACTTTTATTGCATTATCAAAAGTGATACCCTATCAGTTAGCTATAAGCTCTAATATGTATTGTACCTAAATTATTAAGAAAAATGTGTGCATAGTCATTGCACTTTTGAGACATATACAGCTGTCTACTTTGTAAAAACAGTTATATGCAATATTTTCTTTAACACTTCTATTAAGAAATTTCAGAGTTCTCTATAAATTATCTGCAGTTATAACGAAAGTACGTAAATGTTTGAAAATCTGATCACATCACTGTGACTTTACTATATACTTACTTTTATTTTTAAGTTCTTTGGGCTATTGTGAATAATGCTGGCGTTTATAAAGGCAACAATGCTGAATTGTCCTCCATGGAAGATTATAAAGATACCATGGAAGTGAACGCCTTTGGACTAGTTAGAGTTACAAAAGCATTTTTACCGTTATTGAGATGTTCCAGAGGCAGAGTTATAAATTTAACTAGTATGGCAGGTGAGTAAAGCATCCTGTTTAATTCTGGAAATCCAAATAATTAAAATTAATTTTATTTTTTACTGGAAAAAATTGATTTTCCTACCTTTCTGTATAAATGCTACTACAGAAATTCTTTCTGCCACATTCAACACAAATGCTGCGTGTCTAAGAGAAAAATAAAGAAATTAGCAAGCAATTCTACGAAGCTATTGATATGTTGTACGTAAAGTAATGATACAAAAAGTAAAGAAATGATTTAAAATATCTGTACATCAATGAATTTACAATTTACAATAACACAGTTATTAACCTTTTATAACGATTGTATCTTCAATCAACACTTTGAAGTTTCAAAAATGTGAAAAATAACGGTGCCACTGATATCAAAATAGATTATTTGCAAAAAAGAAGTAGAGAAATGTTAAATATCTAATCTAGGAGTCGAAAGTAAAATTCTCGGATTATATTTGGGAAAAAGTGAAGAATCCATTCAGTTCTCACTTTAAATTGGCCAAAGAATGTGCCTTGAGATTTTATCAAAGACTTTCATTCGTGAATTATTACATAAAATGCCATTTCTTTTCCAAACTTAGAAATTACTGTAATATTTTTCATTTTTAGGATACCTGGAGCCTCATGTTCAATTAAATCATTGTGAGGGATTTTTATGCGTTCGAAAATTATGACTTATTTACAGAAATTTTAAATAAATGCTTAATATGTAAAACATCATTAAATATTCCTTAAGTTATATATAAATATATTCACTAAAGGTGGGATAAATGTACTAAATTTTATGCAATTTATTCACTAAAGTGAAAAAAATGATATCGTGAAAAACTTTCTCCACATGAAATTTCAAAATCCTCTTTGGAATAGTCTCAGATTCTGTCTTTTATATTAAATTTAAATCTAAAAGGAAACTGCAAGTCCCCTAGACGGTAACAGTGTTTAGGGTAGCGTACTACGGTACCGAAGGGCTTGGGTTCGAATCTCGGATAAGTCATGGATGTTTTGCTTCTGATGAATGGGGACCCGTTTTGCCTTCGAAGTCGATTGGGATTTTTGAAAATCTACACCGAATACAAGGTTGTCGATTTGCCGGTTTTATATGAAATTCTATTGATGAAACATCCAAACTACTTTTTTTTTTTTTTCCAGGCTTGTTAGATCTACGTTGAACTCATTTTAGCCTGGGAAAATATAAGGAAATAAGCAACAAAAAATGAAAATATTTCAAATTTAAGAGATATATTTTTAACCATCCGCAGAAACTAAGGAAAAAATAGTTTTACACTTTCAAATGTTATGAAATTTGTTCTTGCCTGTTTGAATCTGAAGCATTTACGTAAATGGACATAGGGTTATGAATTTTTTTTTTCTTAGGTAAATTAGCTAGTCCACATTTAACTCCATACACCATGAGCAAACATGCTGCACAGGCTTTCAGTGACTGTCTAGCTCAGGAAATGGAGGCCTGGGGAATTAAAGTGATTTCCGTCCAACCAGAGTTTTTCAGGTAAAGTGTATTTTCAAATTATTTATGTAGATATATCAGACTTTAGTCTCATTTGTATTTACCTGATAGTAATGTAATTACAATTTATACCAAATTTAAATATTTTCAAATCAAATCAGTTATATTTTTATCTTATTTACTAAAGAAGGAATTTTAGAACACTTTATGAAGATATTGTATCTGATTGCAATGTGTATTAGAAGGAAATCAACAAAAATACCCTTCTGTGGATCCTAATCCTCTTAAATGATAAAACTATTTACAAAACAGAAATATTTTATGTATGCTTTTATGCTTTAATTCTAAGTCCAATATATCATTTATTGCGATAATACCAAAACAAAATTAAAAGCTTTTAATGTGAACGTCTCAGCTATACATATTAAAGTTTGAAACAACTATATTTTGACTTGATATATTCATATTTCACGACAATGATATGATCGTTAAGAGCAATTAGCAGGGGTGAAGCTAGAGGGGGCAAGGGGAACGTCTGCCCCGGGCACAGCATCCAGGCGACACCAAATTGCTGTTATGGAATTTTGGAATAAAATGTTTTCCATTCTTAGCAAACAGGAGAAATCTTCAGTTGATCCAGGGCGCTGAAAACACTAGCTACAACTCTGACAATTAGTGATCTGAAAGACTTCCACAAGATTGCGATCCAAACTGTAACCAGTCCGCCTCCATACTTCCCTCTTATTGGATCATGACTCTTTGAAGGAGCTCTTCGCCTAGAAGTATATCTCCTAGAAGTAGGAACAATGCTTAAGGTGGATTCATCGATGAATAGTGAACGATCCGTAGTTTCGTTCCTAACACTGAAACCAGCCTTTACCATAGGCGCTGCTTATCATGATGAAGGCTTTGCGATACATTGTTTTATTACTATTGGCAGAGTGTTAATATTAAGCTTATGAAGCTCGCTATAGGCAGGTTTAATATATTTGGAGAAATTCAGAAATATGCTAAGGTCTGCCGTTTTCTCAGCAGAATTTTAAACGTTTGGGGCTAAATTTCGTTTAAGTACGTAACCTTCTCTTCAGGCAAGTTTCTCTATACTTACAATTACGTGTGTGAACGAATTTCTTCAATTTTCTAGGAATACATATTAGCCTAAATATTGCGATACATGAAAATGTATTTGATGTAATTGGTTACTTAAATATAGTTACGAAATGCCCAGCGGGGGTAAGACAGCTTTCCCCCCAAAGCGGGTTTACAGTTGTTAGAAAAGGACAAGGAAAAGCAGAGTTGTCAACTTTGGAACGAAATCACTCATTTTGCAAAACAATTCACGATATGCCACAGACGGAGCGAGAATATTCTAGAGCGAATTCTTACCGGATTTTCCGAGACTGTTCTCGAAGGCAGGTCAAAAGCTCTAAGTAGTAGCAGTTTATCGTGAAGAGTATCTTGAGTGTGCTGAGTTCAGTAGTAGTATTTTGAATTCAGAGATTAGCTTGAGAGCGATGGACCGAGTCGGGAGCTGTACTTTAATGCTTCGCCGTGAAGCTTCTTCACAGTTATAGCCTGAAGGCTGTGTTGCTGATTGTTTCAGCATGTTTATCATAGTTTTTGGAATACTGTAAACATGTCTTTGGAACTGTCCTGTGGAATACTGACGAATAAATTTTGTTTTGATTCTTTATCAAGAATTATCATCTATCTTTCCAAATCCACGAACCCGTAGAACGCAACAATATATTAAAACACTAAGCGCTATCTGCTTGAGTAGGAAATGGGAGAACTGACTAAAGGAAAGTGACTCTATTAAGTATGACTGTTATGGATCCAACCCATTCATGGAGATATATTGTAGAGACATTAGGTTATTTTGAAGCCGGAGTTGTGAAAAATGAGCAATGCCCTAGCCGGGACTGGAACCTCGGAGTACTCGAATACGCGTCAAACGTGCTGGCTGTTACACCACAAAGGCATGCCGAAAGGTGAGAGAAAATACCTTATAATATAAAAAATACCTATTGTTTTCTAATAGATACATCAAACAAGCAACTCGTCTTATTTTAAACTTAGACATATTATTAATTTGAACACTGTAATTTTCAATACTCGAAGGGCAGTCGTAACTAAAATTTTAAGTTTCACACTCTGCTGTTGTTGGTATAATTCGAAATCTTTCAGCTTTCGTAAGTCGGAAATTGCCATTGGTTTTGAGTACGGAGTATTCTATTCGTCAAGTGTTTCAACTTCCCTTTTAAAGATCTATATGTGTCTTGCCTTGTGTAAGAGCAACATGCAATACATTTACTTAGAAATAACTAAATAATTTTAAATATCTAATAATTTTAAATATCTAATAATTAAAAAATAACTAAATAATTTTTAAATATCTAATAATTAAAAAATAACTAAATAATAATCATCTAAGTAAATTATATTCTTTTTCAGGACTCCGATTACAAATCCCAAAACAATTGAAACACAGATATTAAAGGAATTTCAAAGGTTGCCTCCGAAGATAAGGAAAGAGTATGGAGAATTTTATTTAGAGGATCTGAGAAGACGTGTAGCATCAATTTTTAAGTTTTCGTCACCAAAGGTTAGCACTGTGATCGACGCTTTAGAGTCCGCAGTAATTCTGAAGCATCCAGACACATCATACGCATGCTACAGAAACGTACTTTTTGCTGTTGGTTTCTGCATAATTTTAAATGTACCTACATCATTTCGCAATTTCATAATTGAAATATGTTACACGTTATTACATGGGCGCCTTAGGCGACCTATGAACTTCAGAAAATTTCTTATGTAGAATCTTTTGGTTATTTTATTGGAAGATACATGCATACAAAAAAATATGCATATGTTTACTGTTGACCTGTTTTAAACATAGTAGTAGAGTGTAACAAACGTATATACGATACCTCAATACTGGAAAGTGAGGACATTTCTCGTATGAAGTGGTCACCGTATTCTTCTGACCTTAATTCCAATGAAAATCTTTGGGATGCCCTTTGGTCTCGGCATGTTTACCATCTACAGACAGTCTCAGACAGTTGCAATCTGCACTAATGGAGGAATGGTCATTGTTAGAATCTGCGATTGTTGATTACCTCATTAATATCCTGAACAATCACTGTAAAGTTTGCGTGAAAGTCCGAGATGATCAAAAGCATATCCTAAATGATCGCAACAGAATGCCTAGAAACTGTAGCGTTGGTTCTAGAATTACTGATAATTCTACTAGAAGGTGATTCTATTAAGTACCAATGGAAAGGACATCTTGACACTAAAAATAGCACATTCCTAGAGAAAGCATTAGTTATTACTTAAGTATCTGGACACAGTGTAATAATATATCCGCACATTTGCAATTTAAGATTATTTAGAGACACAACCATTAATTCACCATATTCGGTGTTAAGAAACAGCAAAAGAATTCATGTCGATATGTGTTCGATAAAAGCTCACACTTGATCACATTGCAATGAATTGGTGGATCAGCTGGCAAGAGAGGCAGCCCAATATTATAATGCAGAAAAATCTTTCATTTGTTGTCCTTGCTCATATCTTATAAATACCTCTTGACATTTTTATTGAAAAATTACAAAAAGTGCTAAGTATTTCAAAAACAATAGCCGTATTACGTATTTGTAAACAGGGAAAACATGCATTTGATTGCCTATTAACTGCTGATGTAAACTGTAAAATCCCGATACCTCAATTTTCAGGATACTTATCAGGAAATAGGTAACAGTGAAAGCAGGTCCGGATACCAGAGCGGATTGCTTAGACTAATCGTGTATCGTTCGGATCCCGGAACTATCTATCTAGAGTTACACTCCGAAATCAAAACAGTACATTGCCATATAAGGGCAAATTATCAGTTTTTTCTGTATGCAGAATTAAACATTCACCTGATTTCTATGGTAATAAGAACTGTTTATCGTACTTTTGGTATACAAACTACCAATACCAAAATAATCATATAAAAACTATCAAATAGTAAAACTAACGAAAAAAGTGTCTGAAAGAGCTTAGATTTTAATCATCGCTCAAAAGATCGTTTAGAGTTTAATATGGTTTATCAGTAGGGATTATCGATAGAGATGACCCAAATGGAATAGCAAAACATTTTATAGGATATTAGATGAATATGCATTTATATTAATATTCGAACATTATATATCTACTGTATAATTTAAAACGAAAAAAAAATAATTTAAAAAGCGAAGAAATATATAATGTAATTCTATAAAATGCAATTAAATTATGTTTTAATAAAGTTTTCATTAAATATTTTCAGGAATTAAATATATTTTTTATTTAAATTAATCAGATTCAAAAAAGTAAAAAAATAATATTTTTAAGATATGCATCTATTATTTCTAAATAATTTAGTAAAAAAATAATATTTTTAAGATATGCATCTATTATTTCTAAATAATTTAGTTTATTAATAACAGATATATTAAACTAGAAAGCCCGGCGGTCGTACGAAATGACCGCTCTTCTAGATATTATAAATTGTAATTAAAATTGTGCAAAGGTGTATGCTAATTCAAATTGAATTACCCTAATTCACATGTCAAAGATACCTTTGTACGCAATATTTCTTCTGCAGATCTTTCCATCATTTTCAAGCTCGCCTTGCAGAGGACTATAAATTATTTTTAATTTTACATCCGTTCTTTCACGAACTCTTGAGCAGGCAACATAAAGTTCACCGTGTCCAAATGTAGGCTCAGATAGAAAAATGCCAACGCGCTTAAGCGTTTGGCCCTGAGACTTATGGATGGTCATAGCAAAGGCAAGTTTTACAGGAAATTGTCTACATCTCAATTGAAACGGCAACCCTGTGCCGTGGCAACTTCTCCCCATTTTCACCCCATTGGCTAGTACAGTTACAAGCAACCCATAAACTATCGGCGACAAACAGACACTTAAGCCGTATGTAATAAAGATATTTATTTATTCCATTTTATTTGTTTTTCATCGTTGCCGGTTTTTGCCGGTTGCATATTTCCGAATTCTATTATATATAAATGTTAAATTTATTTATTAAATGTTAAATGCACGTGCTCTTGTATTTTTAATTTTTCCGGCTTAGCTTTCTCGTAATATTCGTCACGCGCTGCACTGCAAGGGGAATAAACAATTTACAGTTAGGCAAGCAACCAATAAAATATCGGCGACAAAGCCGTATATATATAAGATATGAAAGTATTGTTACGGATTTTGTATATTTAGTTAGCTATTTTTTAGTAGAATTGTAATTAAACTTGTTATATTTCTTCGTGCAATGCAGCGCCTGACACGTTTTAAGAGAAAGCTACGCCAAAAAAGCAAAAATACAAGAGCACGCGCATTTAATAAATAGATATGTCATAATTTATATTTAAATTGAATAAATGTTACATCGCATGTTAATACACTGCTATACATTCTCTTAACATTATACATTTTATAATATGCATTGCATTGATCATTGCACTGTACTAAAGGCATATTTTCTCATTGCTACATTTAATACACTATACATTCTATGCTACAATTATGCTCAGTATTAATCTTGACAATTCAATATAGATTATGAATAATAAAATTCATTATATAAGACATAACTTGATTATATAATACATAACTTGGTTATATAAGACATAGTTTTTGATACAACAGGACTAAATAAAAATAAAAATTGCACGTTACAACCAAATTACACACAGAAATACATGTTGGTTACTTTATGCCGTACTTATATTATACAAAATACAGATAACAGATTTGAGGACACAGTACAGCCCATACTGCTTTTGTTTAAATAACGTTATGCTAAAAGTTCTCTGTTGCATACATTTTGCCGTGTTCTGAAAACATACCAAAAAAATAACTTTGAAATTAGACATTCTCCTGGTAACATTACACGTTAACACACTGCTATATATAAAACACTTAATATACTATAATTTTTATATACTATAATCATATTACATTGAACACTGCACTAAATTTAAGACACCTTACAAATCTAATTTCTACACTTAATACATTGTAAGTATTAGCTACATATTACATTGAACATTATTCCTCATTATATAACATAAACACTGGTAATAACTCTTGATTACATACAATATAATTCTTAGTATAAAGAGTTTTAAGAACTGTTAAAAATGCACGTTGAAGAAAAAAAACATTCAGAATGCGAACCCATGGAGACTTTACTGTGCATGTTTTCGCATTCTGAATGCAGTGCTTTGTATGCTGTGAATGCAGTGCTTTGAATTAAACATGCAGTGCTTTGTATGCTGTGAGTATAACATACAAAGCACAGGTGTCTTGTTTGGCAACCCACACCATTCTATACATGAAACACAATACATTCCATACAAAGCAATATTCATAATTGCTTTGCTTATATCCTCTACATGCACTTGTTTGGCAACGCACAGCATTCTATGCATGAAATACAATACAATCCATACAAAGCTATATTCATAATTGCTTTGCTTATATCCTCTACATGCACTTGTTTGACAACCCACAGCATTCTATTGAGGAAACACAATACATTCCATACAAAGCAATATTCATAATTGCTTTGCTTATATCCTCTACATGCACTTGTTTGGCAACCCACAGCATTCTATTCATGAAATACAATACAATCCATACAAAGCTATATTCATAATTGCTTTGCTTATATCCTTCATCACGTTACTCTACATGCACTGTTTGGCAACCCACAGCATTCTATACATGAAACACAATACATTCCATGCAAAGCAATATTCATAATTGCTTTGCTTAACATCTTTCATCATATTACTCTAAATGCACTAGATACATTATATACTGTACCTGTCATACACATTATACTATATACATTCTGGTACTAGAGTACTGAAGTACTAAAGTTAATATGCTTTCTGCTGCTCAAAGCATACCTCTACATGCTACGGGCACTTACACATTTTACGAGGTACTATACACAATGTGCTATAAATACACTATTCCCAATACGCTGTACAGTATTCTATTTATAATTTGCACATGCTTAAACTATTACACAGATGCATTAATGGGCTCATTACAAATATGTATAATTAAACCATTTACATTTGGATAATATTATATCATATTTACTATTGCTTTGCATGTTTCCAGCCTAATGTTAATTTGCGCACTGACTTAAGATGGACTTCTTGCAGAAGCCACTGGAAACCAGTGTACATTGATGCTCTAAATCTCGGTTACAGCCGAAAACATCGCGGCAAAAACATCGCAGATGAAAACGTCGCAGAAAAAACAACGCAAGGCGAAAACGTCGTGCTACAAAACATCGTGGGAGAAAACATCGCAGTTCTAAAACATCGTGGTACAAAACATCGTCGTCGAAAATAAAGCGGTTCAAAAACTTCGCAGTTTAAAAACATCGTCGTCGAAAATATCGTGGTAAAAAATAAAGCATCTACAAATTATCGCATGACGATAACATCGCAAACAAGCTTTTTTCAGGCTTTAATAACTATACATGGATACTCCCGTAATGATTTGTGAGCATGATTTGTGGAAAGAAGGGTAATTTTTACTTTCATATTTTTTATTACTCAATAAATTTTTGCTGAGAAAATAAAAAGGAAACTTAAGCATAGAAAATTAATGCAACTTATAGCACTTAATAGAATTTTAAACCGACATAGTTAACTAACAAAGGCCATTAATAAATCATTTTTTGTAAAGTTTTCACTGGTAATTTTTCATGAAAAGTATAATCTATAAGTTACATTTAGTTTTCTATGCTTAAGTTTCCTTCTTACTTTTTCAGCAAAAATTTATTAGTTAATAAAAAATGTGAAAGTAAAAATTATCCTTCTTTACATCTTGCGCTCACAAATCATTATGGGAATATCCATTTACAATTATTAAAACCTGAGAAAAGCATATCTGCGATGTTATCGTCATGCGATGATTTGTAGATACTTTATTTTTTACCGCGATGTTTTCGACGACGATGTTTTTAAACTGCGAAGTTTTCGAACTGCTTTATTTTCGACGACGATATTTTGTACCGCGATGTTTTAGAACTGCGATGTTTTCTCTTTGCGATGTTTTCTCCCGCGATGTTTTGTAGCACGACGTTTTCGCCTTGCGTTGTTTTCTCCGCGACGTTTTCGTCCGCGATGTTTTTGCCGCGATGTTATCGGCGGACACCCTAAATCTCTGAGAGTTGAAGTTATTACTGCGGATTGCATAAAGCCAGTTCTTGTGCAAGTTTGTTCATAATGCTTTTGAGCTTTCTGTGCTGGGCCTGCTGCTGAATGAAGAAGCGTTTATACGAAATGTCGTTATCAGGAAGCCTCATGTGCCATTTCTCCGTGAGAGGACAAGACGTAACATAATGGTAAAGAATAGCTCGTTCATTACTGACACAACATGACTTCACAGGTTATTTACTCCATGTTTCGAACATTAGCCTCAACATGGAGAGTTTCTTCCACTATACCTTAGGACATGGTACACAATAGTTGCACAGCGAATTGCACAAATATGGCCTATTGCAACCAAAATGAGAAGTGCACAACTACATGTTATAGCAATCCTATGCACAAAATTTTAACGATCGTTTTTGTACGTACGTACAGACGCCACAAAAAATCTATTTTGAATCCATTTTAAATAAGTTTTATAATTCATTTTGGGTAAACGAGTCCTTTCTTATTTAAAAAACATCGTTAAACTTCAGTGGATAGCGGTCGAGATGAATATTTTCGTTAAAATATGGTATTCGGAATTTTCGTTATTACAATACTTCCTTTACTTTGTGCGAGGAAGTAAAAATAGCAGTCAAAGGATTCTCTATATTTGGCGGTCATTGTCGACAGCCGTTAATTTCTATCTACAATAGAAATGGAAATCGGAATCTAAGATAATTTCAAAGGAATGTCGATACCCAATAGTCAAATCTCAGGGTGATCTGTCACTTGGATAAATCGCTTACGTATGGCTTCAATAGAAAGGAAGCTTGGAAACTACTATAGATACAAAGAATGTGATACTTATTAAAGAACAAAAGCAGCCAAAAGTTTACGCGTGAAATTCTATATAATTTTTATAAAAAAATTGTTTTAGACTTATATTTTATACAGAGTTCGTGCTCCTTAACTTATGTAAATTTTGATCGAAGATTTCTCCACACCTATTATAGTTGCAAACGAATGCGAGTAACCAAAATGTTGCATCTGAGGAAGCCTTTCATTTGCAGTAAGAGGTTTAGTTCTAACTGTGATAGAACGAGAGTACTCTTGTTGTACCGTTTTCAGTATATTTTTGATCGAGAATAACAATCATATTTACTAAAAAACGAAAATATACAGAAGTTTATGTAAGAGATGTAGTACCATTTAAAAAAAAATTGTCTCTATCTATGATAGAATGGAAGTTCCGTTGTGTGTACGGTTTATGGCGTACCTCTGATCCAGCATGGCTCGTGACATATAGCAAAACGAGAATAGCCAAAAGTTTGCATTCTCAGAAATCTTTCATCTGCATCTGGAATTTCCATCCTACCTATAATAGAAAGGAAACTAAAGCAAAATAAATTAAACTAAAGTTGGGGGTACCACTTACATGGTACCCATTATACGAACCGAAAATTGTGATCTAATACAGTTAGTTCTTCAAGGTCTCCATGATCTAATACAGTTAGTTCTTAAATAGAGCTGTCATTGACCACAACCATTCCATTCTATCTACAAAATAAACGGCTATCGGAAACGAAAATATTTGCAAAGGAATGACACATATCAAGGACATGTGTCATTTGGTTAGCCTGCTTATGCATAGCATGAACAGAAATGGCGCTCGGAAACTATTACAGGTACAAAGCAATTATGACGCCCAAAACGCAGATCTCGAGATTACATGTCATTTGCGTAGCCCGTTTACTTATAGCTCGGATAGCTGCAATAGAAACGAAAAATGAGGCTTCAGCTGTACCTGTGATTGAAGATATCTCGGTAACTATACTGATTAAATACAAAACCTCCAAACATACCCGAGTGAAATTTTCTATCATTAAATAAAATTCATTTCACATATATTTGTAACCGGAGTTAGTGTTCCTAAATTTAAACACACGTAAAATGTTACCGAAGATATCTCGGGATCTATTATAGGTACAAACAAATGCCAGAAACCAAAATATTGCATTTGAGGAGCCCTTTTATTTGCAGCAAGAATTTTTGTTCTTCGTGTGATAAAACGGGAGTACCGTAGGTGTAAAGGTTTCGATACATTTTTGATCGAAAATATATCTGGAACTGTGACGCTTATTAAAAAATAAAAATATACAACATTTTGCTGAGAGAAGCACTATCATTTCAAAAAGAATTTTTTTTTTTTTGGTTTCTCCCTGTAATAGATCGGAAATTTCGTTGGGTGTATCGTTAACTGTGTAACCCCTATGCCGCGAGACTTAACCACATATACAGGTTCCCACCCCCCTCAGGACGGGGCGCTGAGGCTCTCGCACCTTGGAGAGCAAGACGCACATGCTGGGATCTCCAGACGGCACTGGTCGTCGATTTGCTACCTGCCAGTCCCTCGGGCTGCCCGTTGCAGCGGGACATTACCCAGCGTACATGGAGACGCCACTCCCAACCGGGCTACTTGAACCACGCCGCGCTAGGACGTGGTGCCAGACAACCGGGCCGGCGAACCAATGACCATTCTGGGGCCTTCAGAACCACCAAGTTCATAAATTTTACATCCCCGTGGCCGAGACTGCCTAGGTACACATCCTAGCCAGTAGCTTCGAAGAGTTCTCTACGTCGATCCCCGGGGCAATTAAGAGTGTAACTATGATCGACTATAACTGGTGATCTATGATACCTAGAGCAAAACGAGAATAGAGAAAAGATTGAATTTGCAGAGATCTTTCATTTACATACAGAATTTCCTTTGGATCTATAATAGACAGCAAACTAAATGAAACAAAATTGGGGTATAATACTTAAATTGTACCTATGATAGAAACTGACAGAGCTCTAATAGAAACTAAAAAAACTTAGAGTTCCTCTGAATCTATGATTGAAGACATTTCGCGAACTGTATACTTTCAAAAGAAAAAAAAAAAAAAGAAAAAGGTGACATACAAAATGTTAAAAAATCTGAAAGGTTTCAGATTTTAAATTACGTCCAAAGGGGCGTTTTTAAACGTTTTGTGTGTTTGTTTAAACTTTATTTATTAAATATCATGTGCTTTACACTTAAACCGTAAAATTCAGTTCAATAGCAATGTCGCAAAATAATTTTAAAATGAGCATATCTTTAGAGTTTCCGGTAGACAGTTCCACGCGCTGGAGATAAAAAGCTTTTTTTTCTTCCATAGAGTGTTGCCATTGCTCGCTTTGAAATCCTTGAGTTTGTTACTCAAAAATTCGTTAAATTTTAGAAAATATGAAATAAATAATAAAACAAATTCTAAATTTCAAATTTGGTCTTCCACATGCCCATATTGGTAGGAGGATTACGTCATTCAAAATTCGATGGCTCTATGTACTGTTGTCTTATCACAATGCAAGAAATAAGCATATATTTATGCAGATTTTCCATTATTTAATTTCTTCAAATATAATTCAAGACTCTCACATTTGGTGGCAACAGTTTGAAAAGTGAAATGGACATTTATAGTAATTCAATGCAAAATCGCAAAACGAAAACAATAGTCATTCAGGGACAAAGCCCTTTTGGACTAAAAAGTAATGAAAATCGCCAAAATTTTGCATCATTTAAAAGTAAAATTTGATTTTACCTACATTTAACTGGAATAAGCGTATAGAGTTCCTAACTTTATTCTGTTAAATTAGGTATCGAGGAACCTAGGGAACTATTAAGAGAATAATAGCTTGGTTCAAAGAACAGAGAGCCTCAAGCAGAATTCATTACCCTTAATTCGCTCAAAATAAGATTAACAGTTGGCCCTTTTCTTTCGGCGTACAGCAAAACCTCCACTTGGGCTTAAAAGTAAGAAATAAAAATTAACGCATGACTAAATAAAAGATTTAGCCGAAGCTACTACAATTCTATTTGGCCCGCAATATTATATTACCCAGCGAACTATTAAAATGCACGTAATACGGCCGAGTGTAACAACATCTTAAAAAGAGATGTAGCCCAAAGGCAAACGCGCGCTACTCAGGAATCTTAGCTCTGTCGAAGACAGTGGAACTTGACTTAAATACTATTCTTCTTTTCATGTACATTTAACGCGACTCTAAGCACTCATTCTGGTAGGGAGTTGTAAATTGAAGCTAGATAAGATAGGAAAGATGCATTAACTTAAAATAACTGTTATAAAATTAAAATATACATTACAAGCGTTCTAATGTTAAACACATGTAAATTTTGATCGAAGATATCTCGGTATTTGTTATAGTTACAAACCAATGCGAATAACCCAAATGCTGCATTTGAAGAGCCCTTTCATTTTCTGGAAGAATTTTCATTCTATCTACCTTATTAAAAAATAAAGTATAGAAACATTTTCGCTTGAAACGTTCTATCATTTAAGAAGAATTGATTTTACGCCGTTCGTGTACAAGTTTCGGTAACTTTTTCATCGAAAATACCTTGGGAACTGTGATATTTATCGGAAAACGATAAAATACAAAAGTTTTCACGTGAGACGCACAATCATTTAATTTTTTTTTCCCTGTCTATAACAGAACGGAAATTTCTTTGTGTGAAATGAATCTGTAATGGAGCTCGTGATCTATGATACCTGTCTAAAAACGAGGATAGCCAAAATTTTGCAGATCTTTCATTTATATACAGAATTTCCATTGAACCTATAATAGAAAGCAAACTAAAGCAAAATTTTCGAAGTCCATCAAGGAATTTGTTTAGTTGCAAAACATTTGAAAATGATTAACAAGTTAAAATGATTTAACGAGTTAAGTCAATGGCTTTTGTTTTACGAAGCTGGGTTTTAAGAATTTAATTTTAACAACAATCCTAAATTTCAAATCTTTTACCTTGGAATAAGAAATAAAATAAATGGAAAACATGAACAACTGCTTTTTCTGAAATTTTAAAAAATGTATATTTCAGTGAGAAATAATTAACAAATTCATCCTAAACATAGAAACATATGCATGCATTTAAAACACACATATTTTATAAAATAAACTAATGTTGGATATACAACTTACATTTACCTATGATACAAACCGAAACTGGTGATCTAATAAAGTTAGAATGATGAACTGTTCGCGAAAGTCCGTTCTTAAACAGAGCTGTCACTGCAAATACATTTGGACTGTATGTCAGTTAAATGAAAATATCAACATTTCACACTGCTGTTTCTTTCCTCTTAATACTTCTTTGCAACTCGTCGTAAAAAAACTTTTTTAGTTGAAAAGAGAGTTTCTTTATTTTGTAATTCTGAAACAAAATCCTATAACTATTAGTAAAACGTGTATTTTTTTCGGACCGTATTGTAACACTGCACATTGGAAGACATAAATTTTGCTAATCTATCTCATACACGAAATTCATACAAGAAACAAATGTATAAATGTTTTTACTCTCGCCAGCATATAGAAGGGGAACAGCATTTAACTTCCAAAAATCACTTTCCTGTATTCAGGTTTGTAAATTTTGCAATCAGGATTCTTCTTTTAATTCACGCTTTTAAAAAATACGTGGCCTTTGCCAGGATTAAAGTTTTTATATTAGGAATGTTTCTCCATTTATATATATTCAAGCAATACAAATAGTATTTCATTATAACAATTCACACTAAAGAAGTATCATTATTGTCTATGAAAATCTCAGCTTATTTAACTGCGGTATTTTATGACAGTTTCTGAAACTTTTTAAGATTTTAAAGCTAAAAAGAATTACTTTTCTCACTGATTTATTCTAGATATGATTAAATAAAAAGACATGTTATAGATAAAGAGGAAGTGTAAACGTATGTCAGAAAGATGGGCCGATATAAGTTAATAAAGGATAGGAAAAAAATATCTTTCAAGGCCAGTTTTCGAGTGTCGTTCCTTTTTTGGGCGAATGTATTCAGACAATCGAGCTCAGACAGCTGAGAGAGAAGTTGTCATGCTTGCCTGACTTGAATTTTTTTTTTTGCCTGACTTGAATTTTGAGACTTGAATTTTTTGTTGTCAATGGATTCCTGAAAAAGGTATCAAGAATTGTTTATCGATTATTGCGATAGCTTAGTCATAGGCTTTACTCTATAAGCGAACATATAAGTTATATAGGTTAAAACGTCTTGATGTTAACTTATTATGCAGAAAATTTAAGATTATTATAAACTTGTTAATTACATATAATCAAAAGTCTATCACTTTTCTAAAACGATATATTTAATACATATTTTAAAAAAAATAAGGTCTGTGTTTTGCTACTACGAAAATCTCTGTAATGTAATGTTACAGTTTTCTGAAACGTTGAGTTCCCAAAAGTTTTCAAATTGCATCAAGGAATTTCTTTAGCTGCAAAAAGTTTGAAACATTAAGTTTAAGCGATTTAACAAATTAAGTCAATATCTTTATGTTTTACGAAGTTGGGTTTTAAAAGTTTAGTTTTAACAACAATCATAAATTTCAAATATTTTACCTATTGAAAAACATGAATAATTGCATTTTCTGAAATTTAAAAATTGTTGTGTTTCAATGAGAGAAAATTAACAAATGAATCCTAATAATGCTGTTTATCTTCTTGTTTATTTGAATAAACAGAGAAGCACATGTATGCATTTAAAAAATGTATAATTTAAATTTTATACTCACATGACATGCGATTTTTTTATTTACGCCTACGAAGATTATTCAGATAAAATGTTTTATTTCAGAAATTCATATTTCATAACAATTTTTTTAATTTGAAACCAAAAATTCTTTTTCGTGTTAAGTGGCAATTAATCTTTTTTAAGGCCTTTTATACTTTTCGCAAAATTGTTAGACGTACAGCGGCTTTCAAAAGTGAGAGCATACGCAATTTATTTCCTTCCTTAAAAATAGAAAATAATTATTTTAAAATAAATATTGGAAAGACATGTTTTATATCCTTTCGTGTTCGAAATTCAGTGAATTCGCAAATTATCTATTTTTATGAAAAGTATTGAACTAATTATTATTCCTAATTATGCCACCGAAGAATTATGTAAATATCCAGAGTCAAATGCCTAAGCGTACACGTGCACACTTGCGAAGTGAAATTATATCTGAAATATTATTTTTTTAATTATTGTATAACATAACACGAAAAACTAAAGAAAAGATGCTGTGCCGGAAAAGTACAGAATACAAAATTTAACGTTAAGTAAATGGCTGTCTAGCTAGTTTGGCGAGATATCGTCAAGCTGGCGACGGTTTTGGCCACGAATTTATGTCGCCGAATTTCGCCCAAAGTCGCCAAAACTAGCGACCATTTAGCGGCATTTGTGTCCGGTCTCCGTATCACTGTAATGTGCATTGCAATTGAATAACTGTAATTGATTCAACAGGGTGTCTCAAAAGTCCGTTAACATGTATGTCCTACCATGACAAAACTTAATGACATTGACATGTCTGTCATACCATGACAAACAAGATTTCGATAAGGACTTCTGTCCGAAAATCCGAACGGCGACTGCTAAAGGGCAATGTTCGCGAGCGTAGAAGGGAAGAAAGAAAAGACGTCGAAAGAGGTGTTAATATGACTTTAATTAAAGAACACAGTTAAATCATAGAAGATGTTCAAAATTCCTTCCATCACCACAATGCATGCTTCACAACGTCGGCGGATGGATTCACGGACCCGTTTAAAATGGGCAGAAGTGTCGAGATCCATGTCCGATGTTACGGTCGTTTCGTACACCCTAGACTTCATGTACCCCACAGGTAGATGTACAGGGGAATCAGGGGGGATCGCGGTGGCCATGCGAATGGTTCACCTCTGCTAATCCAGCGATCAGTATATATCTTATTGAGGGTATTCTCGCTCAGCGCTGCTAAAACGCGCAGGCGCTCCATCACACCGAAACTATGTGTTTCAGCGTGTAGTTGCAGGAACCTCAACCATGAGATCCGGCAACACTCTTTCCACAAAATGTCCATAAAGAACCGAATTAGTAAAATGATTCATTCTACTTCTGCAACGTCCTTGCCTGAAATGATCACTTATCCTGTTCATCTATAAGCCTGCGAATATTGCCCTCTAGCGGTTGCCGTTTATATCATCGAGTTCCTATGTAAATATTTTTTGTCATGGTATGATAGACCAGCTTAAGCTTGGCAACGACATTTTGAGACACCCTGTACATATAGCTGTAACCATATCCTGTCCTCATATGCCTTGTAGTAATTTCAAGAAGTCCTGCAGATTTCTTGGCGGTTGGGCGTAAACTATACTTGTTAGTTCAGAGCGACTTTGGAGTATTGAGATATCCGTGAGAACTTGATTGCTTTCCATTGAGTTGATGCGCTTGCCATTGAGTTGTGCTTAACGTTCTTAATAGTTTGAAAAGTAATTACTGATTATACGCTCTGATATTGTGAAGAGCTGTAGGAGTACTTTCTGGAAAATTCCAGAACTGTGAAGTGTTTCTTTTGGTAAAAGTTTTATCGAGCTATCATCAATTCTGTGCGCATTCAATCTGTTACGAACAAGTACCCCGCAACAGTATTTTAAATTCCGTAAAACTGTTAGTAGCTTTTCTGATTTTCACCTTTCAGTTCAAGAGTAGCTCTTCGTAGAATTAGCAGAACTTTGCTCTATTCAGCTGTGGTTGGCATGTAATCACTTTCTTCCGGATCCCATTCACTATCAGTTTCAGGTTTTAGAGCTCTTTTAACACTTTCGATACTAGCGCAGTCAGTGTTTTCACAGGATTTCTCAATATTACCTTCAATTGCAACGTGTTCTGAAAACGAATTTTTGTTAAATTTCCTCACTGATAACCGAAATATTAGAAATAGTTTGTAATTCCTCTGTGGCTTCTTCGAAATAAAAACCATATTTTCTAAAGTAATTTCTGTTTTGGGAAGCTGCTTACCACAGAAGTCGTATTTTTAGAAAGACACACTAATTTAATGACTTTCATAATGATGTCAGAGGGGAGAGCAGCACAGTTAGGTTAGTTAGTTTTTAGATTCTCTGGCCCATTTCAAAAGAAATCAGTAAAAATACTGCTTATCGTCCATGACTCGTTATTGTTATGGTGTGTAAAAAATAGATTCCTTTTAAACATGGAGGGCTCCTAATCTTTTTAATAACTACTGGCGTCTTTTTAATTATTGCATCCATATTTGTCATAGATATATAGTATTATAGAGGGTGTTAACAGATTTTTGCGACGATTTTGATTTTCTCCATCAATTTAAATATTAATTTAATATATAAACGTGAGCATCAAGTTAGAATACATCATCTGCAGGATTAAAAATATTCTTTTCCTTAAAATGTCGCTGAAAAATAATCAATGGTTCGAAGGCTGTACTTATGCTCTGTCCAAAGAGAAAAACTATTATTCATTTATTATAAAAAGATGTGAAAAGCATGGCTTTAATATTTCTACACTTCAAATAAGTGACGTAATTAATATGAAAGAAAACAAACGTCAAAGTTTACACCTGACTTCGAAAAAAGGCAAAAAATGCATACCCAACAAAAATACGTATAGCTCCTTATTAAATCTAAAGTCGCATCTCATGTTTCATGTTGCAAAGAGAAATTCAGCCCCCTCCAAAGAGCTATTGCAAAATTTTCAAATATCTCTGTAGAAACTGTGAACAAAATTACAAAATACTGATTTGAAGCTAATGACAACGAAAACACATGATGTTCACCGCCTAACGCCTAATTTTCTCAGCGTAAGACTATGTATGAAAATTATTTGGAAAGTGAAAAATGGAAATGTATGGTTATAATTGACGAGGCTTGGATACATTTATCTAACTGCAATAGAAGAAGGTCTATTTACCATCGAAAAAGAGAGAAGAAGACTTAAAGGCTTAACATGTTGGTTCAGAGAAAGCAATAAATGTTTTTCTAAAGGTGTTTTTACTGGATTCTCTTATAACGAAAAACTTAAAATAAGGAAAGTAGAAAAAAAATGTCAAAATTATATCGAATTACTATCAGAAATATGTTTTAATATTCATTTTTAAAAAGAAATTTCATCTCTTTATCCAAACAATCTTTACTATATTAAGTTCCATCCGGATAAAGCTCTAAGCCATATCTCTAAATCTACTGCTCTAAAATGAAAAATGAAACGAATTTCAAGCTATTTCCTTTAAATGCATCCCACCCCAGTCTCCTGATGTGTCTTTTTTGAATTACTGTGCATCTGTACTTTTAAAATAAGCTCTTTATAAGCAGCATCCCCAAACATTGGATGGACTCTGGAAGATTGTAAATTAAACCTTGATAATAAATGGAGTTTTATCCTGAAAATCAAAATGTGATAAGATAGTTCAACAAAAGGGCTATCAGACTGAACATATTAAAAAATAAAATACTAATGTTTGTTTACATATAAATATTTGCGAAATCGTGGCAAAAATGTACGAACACTCTCTATATTTCATAGAAATATTATAGTATCGATCATAGTATTATTTACTATTATTATTTATCATAAATAATTTAAATCAATTTATTTAAAATGTTCTTGATAACATTATACCTATGATGTAAAATGTGGCAAAAGGGCATCATGTAAGTAAATTTCAATAAACATAGACATAGTTTTATAATCGAACCTAACTTTGAATTTATTTTATTTCAGATTTACCATAAGATCTACGTATATCATGTTTCTTGACAACATACAAAACGTCTGGAATGCGTCTCCTGTATCAGTGGCAATAGCAATAGTAATCGTATTTCTAGGAATCATACTTTACTACAATAGAGATAGAAATTTGCCTCCAGGACCTACTGGTATTCCCATCTTGGGTATTTATCCATTTCTGAGCAATGAAAAATGCCACCTAGAACTAGACGAATATGGGAAGAAGTATGGTAGCCTCTATAGCTTTAGAGTGGCTGAACAATTATACGTGAATTTGGGAAGTCCAAAACTCATTCGAGAAGTCCATGTGACAAAGTCAGAGATTTTTAGCAACAGGCACAATGAGTTCAACATATTTGCATATGTACTGGATGAAGGTAAAAAGCTTAAAATTAATTTTTATTCTAATATACTTACTTATAATACTAGTTGAAAATATATAATTAAAAATCCTTTCTTATTTAGAAATTTGCTTACAATAATAACTATATTGGCATTTTTTCTTAAATGCAACTAAAGTTTCTTAATTTTGTTTATGGTAGTATATTAAGCACTAAGATACATGGTACATGCTTTACATGATCTTCACATATTCTTCTGATGCTTTAATGAACTCATAATTTTGTTTTGTCTGGTCTTTACCCTGATTTTATGTTCGACGGGCAGAGAAGAATAACTCACGTACACTAGAGGTGAAGAATGTTATAATAACAGATGAGTATGACAATTTAAAACTGATTACAGAGTTCCACAAAGATGAACAAAACTGTGATCAAGAACTGTGCCATTTGTGCTTTATTATAAAATACGCATATTTTGAGGATTGGTAAAATACAGCAAACTCATGTTGATATCTTGCAGGACAATTACTTGTATTCGCCCCAGTTGTTTACATTTTTGTAACCAGGTGTATTTTAGACAATTTCTTGTATGCTTCTTGAGAACTTCACTCTCTCTCGGTTTGATAGCTAAATTCCATAATCCTTTCTTCTTTAATAGGGACTACAGCAACATATGTACTGTTCATTCCGACACTCATGTGTCCTGTCTACCATTTTGTTTCTCGTTCTTCTGTCTTTTCTAGATTACTAAATCCTTCGTCCCCTCTTGTCAGGCGACGACCCCACGGACAGAATCCTCTTCCTAAACTAAATTTGATTTTGACACTCACTTTGTAGTCAGTCAATCGAAATTTCAAATAGTTTCTGGAATAATCAATACTATGCTTTCGTGGTGTAACGGTAGCGCACTTAGCACGCATTCGAGAGGTCCAGATTTCAGTCCCGGTGAGGGTATTGCTCACTTCTGTCAACGGCCATACCAGGCTGAAAGTATTGGTGCTCGTCTGATCACAGAAATCAAGGAACATCTCGTGCTGTTCATATATTTTATCTGCCCAGACGGTAGAGTGGTTAAGGAAGTCAACTGCGGTACCGAAAGGTCGACTGCCAACGTCTGCGGACGGTTTGGGCCCATCATTTAAAAAAAATAATCAATGAAGATCTATTGATCAAGATCTATAAAAAATAATCTTCAGATCATGATCAAGAACAAAATGTACCACAACATTTGCCACATACTTTCCCATTAAGACCCAGCTTGTTCCATCAACAGTACACTTCCAGACTTCATTATACGTTAACATGCAGAGGATTTACATATTGCATACTATTAATTCTTATTGGGTAGTTATAATCCATGACATTTGTAATTTATAAAGCAATATCTATTTAAATCTCTTGAATATCTCACAAAATTAATGCTATGCTACTCCTTTATCAATACTTTTATAAAATTCACACGTAATACAGTAACGGAGAAGATGTCTTCCTCATTAATACGAATACTCTTTGTATTTTTACTTTCCTAAATCGTTTATTTATCTACGATATATATGCTATCACTCGATTCCATGAGAATCACAAGCTACTTCAAACTTCTTTTCTAAAATCATCTTTTGTTTAGTTTATAAATCAAATTTGATAGATAACGCATTACACAATTTTCCTTAACGGCTTTAAACTATATTTTCTCGTTTATCACACGATATTAATTTAAAGGTTCATGAAATATTATGGTATTGTCTTCATCTAACAAATGAAATTCATCATCAGAATTAGACATGCGGCTTTCACAAATTTTCCGGAGTTAATGTTTTTCTGATTTTACGTACGTTACTTCTGCGCTCATAAACTATGGTCTTATTTTTACATGTGAAATTTATTTTTCTTTTTCCTCTTACTTAACTCTATTCTATAGACAGAGTTCAGTAAGAAGACAAAGAAAAATAAACTGAGCACAGCCAATTTTATGAGCCAGTTTCTTTCTCAGCCTGAAATTTTCTGCAACTCATATTTTAGTGTTTGAACTAACTTTTGATGTCCCCTCAAAATGTACGATTTCATGACAAAAAATTTTCTTTCTATGGTGCCGCATGGAGTGCGCAGCAAGAGTTTCAGAAGTGTCTACTTAATCCCCTGAATTTTTTTAATATTTGTACTCACGACAAACTGTAAACCAAGTGGCTCTATTCATCGACGTGCAAGAGGTTTCATGAAAGCAACCTTTTTTATATAATTAGAATTTCGGACAGTAAAATTTATCTAAGAAGAAAAAAACATACTGTAACCACGAAACTGTTGAATTGTTCGGAAAGTAATTTCGTTTTTTTCAGGGCTTCGTTGTGTTTTTTCACAGCCAGTTTCACACTTAAGACGCATAGTCTATATGTATTTTAACAGCTGATATAGCAAGGTTGTTTGTGAAAACGTTGGATTGATTCTTCCTAGTAGATTTTCGTTGGTGCCCTTTCAAACATGGAAAAAGAAAAGCAGCATTTTCGGCATATTTTTTTTTTTTACTATTCAAAAGGTAAAAGAACTTTTCAAGCAAGAAACAAATTATTCGATGTGTATGGAGAAGATGTATTAACAGCAAGCCAGTGCCAAAACTAGTTTGTAAAATTTCGATCTCGCAATTTTGATCTTGAAGATGGAGAACAAATAGAGAGCTTAAGAACACAAAGAACCATATGTCGAGCTTTGAGATTAAACCTAGGCTTTTCAAATGACCATGAAAGGTCATATTCGATAAATTTAATCTCTCAGCTATCTAACGAGTTGTTATTCGCCGGTTTGCATTAATGAATGCCTTTAATGTATCTTCATCATCATCAGCTGGACTTCCAGAATGTGGTGCATCTTCAAGATCAAAATCGTCGAAGCGAAATTTTTCAAACCAGTTTCGGCACTGGAGTTCAGTCAACACATTTTCTTCATATACATCGGATAGATTTTTTTCTTGCTGAAACAGCATTTTTACCTTTTCTAGAGTAAAAAAGTAAAAATAATGAAACTGCTGCTTTTCACTTTCCATATTTCAAAGGGCACCAACCAAAAACTACTTCTTAGAATCATCAATCCAACGTTTTCACATACTAGCCATACTATATCAGTTGTCAAAATATATAATAATTATCCGATTTAAGTGTGAAATCTGTGAAAAAATGCACTTAAACCCACTGTTGTGAAAGAAAGCGAAATTACTTTCCGAAAAACCCAATATATGGATAGCTAGAGTGCAGGCTAGTGTGCTAAAAATTCAAGTTTGGTATGGTTGCGCATGACAATATATCGTATGGAAACACAAACTAGAATGTTTGTAAACCCTTGTGTGATGTACAACTAAGTTTGCCGGCTGTGTCGAGTGGCAGAAAAATTCACTCTAAAATATATTGATATTAATTCTTTTGTTATTGTTATTGTAAATTTTTGGAATACAGTTTTAGAATTAGAGTTCATATGGATGAAAAATTTTTTGAAATTTCGAAAGCAACGAAAGAAGTATAAATTTAGGTGATAATACATCAAATTATTAAACACAAAAGAAGCATTATCAGAATAATCATTAGAAATCAATTTCAAAAATGTTATTTCAAAAATATAGAAAAAAATTAGAAGCCTATTTGAAACTTTTAAATCTGGAGTCAACTGTTAATTTTTAAAGTTACTTTTTTCTGATTTGTGGCAGTGAGAAAATGTGAATCACTTTTTATTTTTCAGGAAATTCTGAATAACTATCTTTCAAATTAAAATACGTAAATAAATATTTTTTATAAGTTTCAGTTGAACATCTGCTTCATTCATTTCTCCACTTAGTTGAAATTAAATGTAAGTTGACACTGAAATTTCTTTCACTGTATGCTGATGTTGCAGAAATTGGAAACATGTAAGAAATTGCTTAAATTATATATATATATATATATATAATCAGCACTTTTCAAAATCAGGGGCATTTTGCAACTTAATTTTTGTACCTTGAAAAATGTTCAGAACTTTGAGTAGATTTAAAACAGAGATTCAAAGAATTTTTGAATTAATGTTGCTTCATCAAAAGGACTGAATTCACCTTTTATTTGAATATTTAATAACTTCAAGAAATTTCCGAAATTTTGCCGATGAATTATTTAACAGAGACATACAATTGACAATTTGCCAGATATAGAAATTTTGTCAAAATGCTCTTAGAAATAAGTTATTGGCTGAAGAAAAAAAATAATTTCAAGGTATCAATAATATTTTTAGATTCTGCATTATCTAAGTTTTCAAATGTTGAAAGCCAAAAACTCATCATCATATTGAGATTTAAGCTTTTATTTTATGTTGGTCAAGATACAGAAACCATCTGCAACATAGGTTTCGTTTTTCTTCTAGTTCATCAAATGCTAAGCTGAAAGTCGTGTTTAAATGTTTTGAGAACTATAAATATATTTCAACAATGGGTGTCATTTCTATAGAATTATCACCAATCTTTGCTGACGATGCGAAAGGGCCACAGAATTTTAGAACAATATATTTATGTCCACATTCAAATTTCCCATGATACATTTTATTGAATTATGTACAATGTCAGCACTGCAGTTAGCTTTGAAAACATTTTAATTTGATGTAAGTATATTAATATAAAAGAAAAGCCTTATTAAAGAATAGTTCACATAGTACTAATGTTGTGAACCTCTTCAACAGGTGTTCCTTTCATTAATGGCGAACCATGGAAAGTTCTTCGAAAATTCTTTCTTCAAATTTTTAAAGACTTCGGGATGATTTCATTAAAAGGGGATATGTCAGGTCCAGTTCATGAGGTTCTGAATTCTATTATCAAGGATCTTCGAACGACAAATGGGAAACAGATCGATATTGTAGATTTATTAATGGGCAAAATCACAACTATCCTATGCCGGACGTTATTTGGGCACTACCCTATCTCTGAAGAGCAAATACAGAACGTTATTAAGCCCTATAAAATAGTCCTGGATGCCCAAGGTGGAACACATGCATTTCTTTTCGGACGGATAGCAAAGTAAGCCAAATTTGGTAAATATTTTGATTATTCTTATTAAGATGGGTTATCAAAATATAACTAACACTTTTATAATGGCTTTAAAAGTAGTATTCCACGCTGAAAATGTTTAATTGTGAGAACTGTTTTTATTTACTTGTTGTTGATAACAACTGAATGATTGCAGCCCATTTTGGTTATAAGACTGCGATCTCCGATCTTTAGCTCTTATTAAACATTGATGAAAGTTAATGAAGAAAGCCTATTGATTAAATCTGTAGAGACATTAGGATCTTTGGAAGCAGGAGATGGGAAAAATGAGCAAGGACCTCGCCAGGACTCGAACCACGGACCTCTCTCGAATACATGTCGAGCGTGTTGACCACTACACCACGAAGGCATGCTAAGAAGGCTGGAGAAATACCTTATATACTCCCCCTTTTAAAGGGCGACTGGGGTTTAGGAGACCCAACCGCCAAATCCTGGTGGTGAAGAATTATTATCACCACTTTTTAGTTCGAGTGCTAGTATAGAGACATTAGAATCTTTGGAAGCAAAAGATGCCATACATGAGCAATGTCCTCTCCGAGACTAGAACCACGGACCTCTCGAATACACTTCGAGCTTGCTGACCACTGCACCACGAACGCATGCTAAGAAGGCTGGAGAAATACCTTATAAATTAACCAACCATTAGCCTTTAGCAAATTTCAGCTTTTACGTAGCGAAATCTATGCTATTAAAATCCATGTGCGTCCGTCTGTCTGCTTGTTTGTTTGTGGCATATCTCCTTCGGAACGGCGGGGAGTTGAGTTTCGAGGTAGGAACTCCCGGATTCCAAGGGAAAAAATCGTGGGAAGCCATTTTGAGTATACTCATCTTCGTACAAATTGAATCAGCAGAGATATTAATTGAAAACTCTGAAAACGCTAATTTTCTCCCTCATTTTTCAGAGAGGCAAGTCTCGCGCGCTGGAGATAAAAATGCGCTTAATTCGAAAATTATTGCTACTGCTCGTTCTGAAATAATAGAGTTTGTGAATAAAAAAAATTGTACCGATTACAAAATATGAAACAAATACACCATTGACTTTATCTGAAATGACATGTTAATTTTTTTCCATATTTCGATTCTACGACCTAAATTATGCCTGTATATTACATTTTATAATTTTTGGTGGGAAATTTATGGATATATTTAAAAAGTTATCTTGGCACATTTTTTTTTCAGTTTGCTCCAAGAATAATTCACTTGTAGAACATCTTAATATATAGCAACCTATTTTCCTTTCATTTTTTTTTTCATTGTAAAACCAGTGGAACAAAGTCATCGTTCATACTTTCAAATAATTTTAACAAAGTGAGTAAACCGCATTTGGCATTATTATCACTTATAACGAATGTGCCAAATTTCAAAACGCGCCAATATGTATATGTTGGAAAAAAATGTTGAAAAAAAAAACTCTACTTTTTCTAGCCATGCTTAGAAATACACTACCTTAAGATGATGGTAAAACGTTTATAGGTTGTTTGGAAAAATTTATAAAAATGATTTAAAAATACAAATTAAAAGAAACATAAAAATGGGAGAATTTTATTTGGTATGCAGCTAAATTTCGAAATGTGAAAAAAGAATCATATAAGTTTAATAAAAGAACATATATCAATGAATATATATCAAACGCAATTAGCATTGAGGAGCTAAAAGTTTTAGAGCTAATTTTTAAAAACTTCTTGTGCGATTTCTACAAAACTTAGCAGTTTGCATAATTTGAGTCGTAGAATCGACTTATAGGGTAGTAACAAATTGGCATGCCCTTTCAGAAAAAGTCCCATTTTGTGCCAAAATACCTATATCAGAACACTGCTATATATAAATCTAATACATATCCTAAGTCGTGCTTTCGAGACATAGAAAATGCAAGTTGAATTTCGTGAATCGGCCCAATACAATGGAAGATATATAACTGTCGTTTTCTTCCCACTGCAATGTACATACTTTTGTTTTTGATAATGATATCACTATACTCATTAGTTACGTACGTAACAATAATAAGATTCGAAACAATTTGATTATTTTAGTTTAACATTTAATAAATAAATGAATGATTTAGGATTTATTCAATTGGTTTCAACACCAGTTAAAAGTTAAAATTTGGTAACTATTACTATACATCTCTCAGATAATTATTACTGTGAGAACTACGATGATTATTTAAATTAGAACATGTTTTATTTTTTAACTATAGATTCTTCATATATAGTTTCATATATATAAATTTTCATATATATATTTATAGATAGAACAATTATAGATTTTCAGCCATCACCAGCAAATTCTTTTTTCTAAGTAACAAAACTAATTCAATATCTAATTAATGTTAATTTTAATTTATAAAATCAGATTTGATTGTTCCATGTTGTATTACGTCTATTCATTCCTGATGTATTGTTGTAAATCTAATAGGAAGGAATTAAAAACTGCTTTAGAGTTTGTTATACATTTATAATAACAGATTACGTGCCAAATTGAAAATTATTTAATGGAATTTTTATTATCATCTGGCGCGAAGTTTTCACGAAAATCAATATAAAATTAATAATACTGCAATTAAAATTTGTAATTACGATTACATGACTCTGAGACGTTAAAAGAGACTAAGAGTCATTTTAAATTCCATTAAGTACCTACTTAAATGAACTACTTCGCTGCTTCATTACATATAATTACGTACTCTATAATTGCTAAATTTGAATTACAGTACACTAAATACAGTACTTAACTTTAAATACCTTAATTTTAAATAAAAATTACTTCCTTCTAATTTACATCTAATATTTTATCACATATCATTCTTGACATTTTTCCAACTAAATTGAGCAATTATTAACTGCTGGCTTGTTTGAAAAAAGCTTGAGCTTCTAGGGTCATTACGCTATTTTGAAGCAGTGCATCGGGAAAAAAGTACAATGCCCTTGCCTGGATTAGAACCTGCCAGAGTGTGTAACCGTTATATCTCGAAGTCATGCTGGAAGGAGGAAGAAAATACCTTATATACTCCCCCTTTTAAAGGACGACTGGTGATTATGAGACTCAATCGCCAAATCCTGGTGGTAATGAAATATTGTCAGCCATATTTTAGTTCAATACACACTTGTAGAGTCATTAGGTTATTTTGAAGCAGGAGATGTGTAAAAGAAGCAATGCCCTCGCCGGAACTCGAACCTGGATCTTACGAATACGAGCCAAGTGTGCTACAGTTACACCACGAAACATGCGGGATAAAGAGAGAAAATAATTTATAAGCTCAGGAAAACATTTCTAACTTCTATATACCAATGCTTCGTGTAGATAGCTTTTAAAGAGACCTTGTATACCAAAGCTGATGAAATTACCAATTTTCTAATTTTAGGATAAAAATATACTTTAATACCTTTATTACACTGAGAAGAAATTTTGGAACGATCTGACGATAATAAATGGTTCAAAATGGGCTTTTCAAAAATGTTGGCAATTCTTTAAATGCAACAGAAGTCTTAGTGTTTATATTCTTTTAGAATTTAATTACCTCAATTACTTGCAGAAATCAATGTTGAAAAATCTGAACGTAATTAAATGTGAATGCAACTATTAGGGAATTCTGTTTGATTCAAATATTGAATGGATTTCGGAGAAAAATATTTTTTTCTCACCTATGAACTTGGAGGTTATTTTTTTCCCTTTGTTTACTCAGTTCAGCAAAAATATTTCTATGTGTGTTATCAGCCAACTTATCGGTTATGCCTCTGCAGACACGGAAATCACGTGTGATGAGCATGAACAGAAAGTGGAGGAAGGTCTTGAAGAAGTTACAATATCAATGATTTCTGTCTTTTTACAATATTTACAGAATATATTTTTTACAAACTTTATTCGTATATAAGAATTGCAAAGATTTGTTATAGCAATCTGTGTATATAACTAGATATGGTTTCGAAACAATTTTGACAGTGCTGATGTAATTTATAAAAGATATAATTTCTGAGTTACAATTGGAGCTGAGAGGAGATTATACTGATTTGAGAAAACTACGGTTTAATATAAGATAGTCAATGAGAGTCTGTAGTTTCAATCGGAGTATTTTAGTCTTTAATAATTACTGAAAGTGGCATAATTAATGTGATCTAAGATTTCCTGAGTGTAGCGTTATTGAAAATCGTGCTTGAACAAATATTACACTCTTCTGTTAATTAAAACATACCTAAATTTATAAATAGAAGAGCTGATGTGTACACCACATGACTTCTTTGTACGGAATATTAAATTATATGCATTTTTTCTGCATTTCATTTAAAACTGTTTTCTCGAATTTCATTAGAGATATATTTCTCATTTTGTTCTCACTTTGCAGCAAGGCAAAAATACATAAAAACTCAAAATTTTTAATTAAAAATTGAAAGATATAGAAAAACATAAAACACCAAATACAGTTAAAACAATTAATGAAACAATTTTTACAATTCAAATTGCAGTTTTTAAGAAAAAACAAGCAATTCGGCCAGCAGGCATGAATTTTCGGCAGGCATGAATTTTCAGGACCATTTTTCGGTCCACTAAGTTAAAAGTTTCCTTTTGGCAAAACGACACTGAAGATGCAGAAAGAATCTAATAAGTTTCAAATATAAACAAATATGGCTGCCTTGGTAAAAAGAAATTTGGCATAGCCGCACTTAAACAACTTTTAAATTGTTGATAATTCTACACGTATTGCCTTTAGATTAACTAAAGGCATAAAAACGTTAACCGGAAGATAAGAACAAAAAATTTCAATCATTTTTAAATCAAAAATTTGCACAATTTACCAACATATAAGAATAAAATACTGAGCACATTGACCCGAGTAACAGAAGGGTATATATATACACTTTTGGTGCTTCTGATGGCAACCAAAGGGGGTGGTCCACAACTACATGTCATACCAGCCGTATATACAAAATTGCATAGTTCTGAGGCTACTCGTTTTTGAGTTATGCGAAATACATACGTTCGTACGTACAGACGCCACAAAAAATCTCTTCTGGATCCATTTTAAATCAGTTTTATAATACATTTGGGGAAAACGTGTCCTTTATTCTGACCTTACGTACAGATGTCACGCAAAACCATTGTTAAACTGCATTCGACAGCGGTCAAAATGGATATTTTCTTTGAAATATGGCACCAGGAATTTTTCGTGATTACAATTATTTTCGGATATAAATTCCTTTTCACTTCCTATACTTCTTACAAGGAAGTAAAAAGGAATTTATATACCAAAAAAATAAATGGCTGAAAGAAGAGATGAGATCACGTATGCTGTTATGCATTTTAAATAAAAATTTCCGTATCTGTTCAAATTAAACTTTCTGGAAAAATGGACTAAACAACAAATTAATGTGACTAATACTAGTTATAGATGTTTTTGGGAAAATATTTTAATTAATTTCTAAATTGAAATTTTTTAAATTTGTTTCACAAAACAGAAACAGGTAAAGAAAAATTCTATTTCATAATTTTTCTAGCAATATTTCTAGCCAGATAATTTTTCAAATAAAAGCTTTTATTCGAATAATAAATAGATTCAATTATATATATATAGGTGTGTGTGTGAAATTAAGAAAAGAAAATATTTAAAAATTCTGAAATGCTTCAGTCAAAAGCTTACATTCTTTAAGTTTTCTCAGCTCGTATTTTTTCCATAAATCCTTATTAAAAGTCCTAAAACTTGTGTTTTCAAAGTCTAAGCTGTGTGTACAATGTCTGACTGTGTCTAACCTGTGTTTCAAAGTCTAAACTGGGTGTACAAAAACAAGTCCTAAACTGTGTATTTATTATTATGCATTTGATAGAAACAAGGATACGTTCTGCCAAAGTATCCAAACGAGAAACTTTGGAAATAAGATTGAAATTACAATTTTTTCGGTTCTTACATATAAAAATGATTTTTTTAACAGAAACTAATTCATTAATGTCAAAATTGATCTTTACGGTTATGACGATCATTCTAATAAACACAATAAAAAATTGAGGTTAAAAACTTTGAAAACTGTAGAAGAAAGTTGTTTTAATTGTTTCTTAAAATAATTATTAAAGTTTTTCTTAAAATAATGATAACAAAAATTACTGGAATTCGTTTCAGCTTTTGTCTAACAAAAACATTTAATAATATTCGTAAAATATCGATGAAAGTACTTAAATAAAAAGAATCATTCAAAAGTACCAATGAAGAAATATGCGAAAATTGTTGACGTTAGATATGAGGCGATAAACTTTCATGTAATACCATATAATTGGAAATAGTAGACACTTTATCGTAAAATCCGAGGATAGCAGAAGACTTCGTTGTACAGAATGCCATAGCCAGACTTTATACACACACTAGCCAATGAATTAGAAATCCTTGAGATTTTCATTTGAATGAGTGCTACGGAGGAAGTATGCAAATGTTTTTATGACGTGGGTTACACGTGGTTAGAATGCAAGTATAAGTAAGGTGCAAGAGTGATTTTCACGATAAATGAAGTAAAATGGGAAAAACTACAGATCTTTCACCATTTGGGAAACGGCTTATTGTTGGTGCCCGTTTAGCAGGGCCCTTGATTTCGAAGACTGGAAATCTCTCTGGGTTCTTCTCAAAAGTAGCCATATCAAAGGATTTAAAAAGTTGGAATCAGAATTTCACACTCCTTCTCTAGAAGACTTAACTGTGCTTCAACGCAGTTTTCCAAGAGAGCGATCGGCGTCGACTCCAAGGAATTCCGACGCCGTTTCCAAGGAATTCCGACGCCATCTCCACGGCATAACAGTCTGCTACTGTGCTTCAATTGACACAGATCGTCAACCTAAGGCTCTTCCCAACAGATTTCAGCTCGAACCATGCGTAGAAAATTGCAGAGGATAGGAATGCATAGTCGGGTACCTGTGAGAAAAACCATTTGTTTCTACCCGACATGCAAGAATTCTTTTGCAGTGGTGTCAGAAAAGAAGACACTGAACATCTGAGGATTGGAAACGGGTAATGGGGTCGGATGAATCACGCTATACGTTTTACACTGATAAAAAGGCGTCGAATTTAGCGAGAATCCCATGAGGCCATGAATTCATCTTGCCTTACTCGCACTGTGCAAGGGTCTGGTGGGAGTTCATGATATGGGGCATGTTATGCTGGCATTGAAGTATCCAAACGAGAAACTTTGGAAATAAGATTGAAATTACAATTTTTTCGGTTTTTACATATAAAAATGATTTTTTTTAACAGAAACTAATTCATTAATGTCAAAATTGATCTTTACGGTTATGACGATCATTCTAATTTAAAATTAGAGGGTGCCCGGGTGGTCCTCGAGTGTAAACAAACAGCCGTGAGATACCTAGATATACTGACAGATCAAGTACACCCGAAATGTTTCATGTTTACCCCGATGGCGACAGATACGTCATGAACGATAATTCAACTGTGCATCGTGCCATAAGTGCCGAAAATTGGTTCGCTGTACCCCACTATGACTTTCAACACCTTCCCTAGCTACCGCATAGCCCGGACCTTAATCCCATAGAAAATGCGTGGAACATAGTGGAAAGACGCATCCGACAGCATTCTCGTCTTCCATCTAATTTACAAGGTCTAAAATGTTGCGTGGCCAATGCATGGTATTCTTTGGACGTAAATGCACTCCAGAAGCATGTAGACTCGATGCCCAAGTGAATCAGAGCAGTTATCCATGCAAAAGGTGGTCCTATAAAATATTGATCTTGGGTTTCTAATTAATGGCCAGTGTGTGTAGATGCAAACTATGTAATGTAGCTCTACATCATGACTGTAGTGAAGCTTTTTGCACTTTAATATTTCATTTGAAAATAATCTGTATTTGTAAAAGAAATTCAATGTAAATTTTAATATTAAATTAATTACAAGTACAGCGATTTAGAAATTTATGAAACGTTATCCAGTTAAAAAGTAACTCAGAACTCCATTCAAAGAAATCTTCGCGCTAGTAAAATCAGTAAATATCCGTATTTTTATTCCGATGGTTGTTAAGCGAACGCAACACTCGAGTTTTCCGCAGGTAAAAGCATTTTTTTTTAATTTTCATAGTAAATGTATGTTATAAATACTTAATTTAATACTTAGTATTATTTGTATTAGAAAAAAAAAATCATTCCTTGTAGTTTTGGCGGTTAAAAGGTTAAAGAAAAGTATACAAAGAGTACAAAGACATGTATTTCTATAGAAATATTATTTTTCCTCAAGGTAATAATAAAAAGTTTCATCAATAACAATTAAAATCTATGCGCTAGTTATGAAGCGGAAGTATGCAGAAATGATTGCATATAAGTATTTTATTATTTATGAATGTAACTTATTTTCAGAAATCTTTGCATTTCTGTTTGACTAAAAATAGGGATTACAAGTTTAAATGTTTGGCCTTTGCTAATTAAAAGGAAGCTCGAATTTTATTATCAGTTGTTTATTATTGAATGTAGAATTTCATTTATTAGTTTTTTACTTTAAACCTTTATTTATCTCTAGCTTTTCATTGCAGATATCTGATTTTCCGTTGGATGCCTAATTATCGCCCAATGGTTTCCAATCATAAACTTATGGTGGATGCCATATATAGAATTATAGATGACCACGAAAGCACGCTTGACGAAGATAATATACGTGACGTAATGGATGCTTATTTGAAGGAGAGAAATGACCGACGACGAGAAAAAGATCCCTCAGCCAAGTACTTCACAAGTATGTTCGAAGTATCTCATTTATATTAAACAATAAGCACTATCATAAGTATTGTTATCAAATGGTCTGAGTTAATTATATTTTTAAGAACAGGAAAATCGCTAATGTCATCATTCGCTCAGTTCATCGGCGACAGTCTCGTTGTAGTCCATGCCGTTGGAGCGTGTTTCCATTCCTTGCTGGAGCATCCTGAAGAGCAAGATAAAATATATAAGGAAATTCTTGAAGTAGTTGGGCCTGACAGACAACCGAGCTTGGAAGATAAAAGCAACTTATCATATACTAATGCTTTCATATTTGAAGTTTTCAGAACATCTGATTTCTTCCCATTTTTTCCTAGTTTGATGTCCACAAGTGAGTAAAAACTATTTCATAACTATAATGAGTAAGAATTTCTGGTTAACAAGATATCACAAATAATAACTTGCAAAGTAACCATTGTAAGGGAAGTAATCTTGAAGTAATAATGGACTTAAGTTGATTAAGATAAAGATAAGATAAAATTGATTAGAATCCATTTTATTAAAAGCAAGCGAAGACTATGAACCGACAACATTTTATTCTTTTTCTGACAACAAACGAAGTATAAGTACTGTTGCCACACATATTCAGATAAATATTATTATTATTATTATTATTTTTTTTGGTCTTAACGACACAAAATACAGACCTGAGCCTTACATTAGGTCCCACTCGAAATGAAATTTAAACAACCAGAAGGCTAGAATAAATTTTAGTTTGAAACCTCTTCCTCCGAGTTGTCATTTTGTTTGCTGATTAGCATATTTTGCTTTAAGTAAATGTACACGTGGTTTAGTAAGATGTTACACGTGGACAACTTTCAAAAATGCTTTCTATACTGTCGTAGACTTGAGTTCATCCCATACGTCACTATTGGTTGAATAATAAAAAATAGTCTCTTGAATTTTGAAGAGAGTCTGTGATCTCTTTGTATCGACCACTCGTATAATATGATATACGTAGTTGGTTGTAGTGGTATTTATAAGCTTGGCTCCTTTGTTTCATTATGAGTGATTATTGGGCAAGATCTTTTGCAATGCGGTTTTCTGCAAGGAATGAATGATGTATATGTAATTTAACATTAGGAATTTAAAGGGGTATTTCCGATTAAGTTAGAAACGTATTAATAATTTTCCGTCACATGCATATGTGATAAATACTTGGAGAGACTGCTGCATAATTAGAAAGATGATAATTAGGAAGAAACTCGAAGGAAGGGCAAAGAGACGTAGCCTATTTGAGCATAATCTTTATTGTCGGATACGAACTAATTATCGAAACAGTATTTTTCATTGCTTATGATCATGATCACATTACTCACACGACGGTTTTATATAGAGTATTACATTTTAAGTAATGACGTACTTGGCAGCACGACAAATCACAATGAAATAATACAGAATCCAAGCGGCAACAGAACAGCAAACTAACTGCTCATTTAAATCCAATCGGGAAGTCTGTTAAGAGGAAGATTTTGGTTTACAAAATTTGAAAAGTTTCAGTTCTTAGAGTTACGTCATCAGCATTGCGCAGGCCATGCAAGATGGAATGATCTAGAAATGACGCAATCCAGAGCCGGTATTGCGATTTTTAGAACAGAGAGGGAGAATTAAAGGATTACTATTACTTTAAGTTATAATTTTGATTTATACATGTTTTAGCTTACACACACACACACACACACATATATATACATAAACTTAAAGCATCTACAGTTAAAAATACTGTATCTAAACATATCAAAATTAAAATAAGAATTCATCTACCTCAGTGTTAAACTTTCTATCCACGGTTGCAATTATTAATATTGTTGAGGTATAGCCTTGCTTCAGTTTCAATTTGATTTTGACTTTAGATGCTTTAAGCTTAATTTACTTCAATCCTGCAATTATATAGCACAGGACTGGTTAAAAAAATAGTTTTTAATTTTTGGCATATTACTAAGTTTCTTTATATATATATAAGATGAAGTAAAAATAATTATAAGTAAATAGGCAAAAGAAATTATTTAGCAAAAAAAAAAAAAAAAAAAAAAAAAAAAAAGTAAAGTAATGATACTGCAATTTTTAAAAATATTTCGCTTTTTATTAAAATTATATTTAGAAAACATTAAATTAATCAAAATGGTAAAAAAAAATTAATGGAAGAACATAAGAAATAGAGGCCGGGAAAACTGTGCTATCATTCTTTGACTTTCACATTTTCAAGAAGAGAGCAGCCTACGAGTGACAAGGCATTTTCTCCAAACGATTTTTTTTTTTTTTTTTTGTTTCTGTACACTCGAAATTATACGAAGTACTAAATAAATAAGTAAACGTCTTTAGCACATTTAAAAATTAAAAGTGCCACTTTAAAAAAAAGGCTCTGCATCACACTTGAAAAAATGCAATAAGTACTTTTTTTTATAAAAACCTGTACAAAAGTTACAAGATATAAACCAATCTGGAATTATACACGCATATATGTTTTATACAATAGCTCTCGCAGGTAGCAGCTTTACACTGAACTTTACATTGTATTAGAGACCTCTATTCTTACAGTTAGCAGTACAAACTACTCAACTCAACTTGTTTAGCAACTATTGGCACAGCTCAGAAATTCAAATATGTAACTAGGTAAGTTAAATTAAAACTTGTTACTTACTTGCTTTTTTACTATTTTTATTTTTATTTTTATTGTTGTATATAGTTTATTTTAGGTTTACATGCATAATTCGTGTAGGGGAAGTTTCCTGTAGGCAAGAATTTCTAAATTACTTTGGTTTTTTAAGGAGTTCCTCAATTACTTTGGTTTTCTACACTTAAATGAATTTTTATTGATTTAATTAATTTTAACTTTAGTCATTTACGTGCTATTTTCTCAAAATTTCACTGTTTAAAATTTTTTTTTTTTTTTTTTTTTTGTAATTCACAACATTTGACTTTACTTTTGGTTTTGAATTTTGCTTTTACCCTTGCCTAAATGGTTGACGAAACACGAATTGATTAATTGAAGACTTAGGTCCCAATCACATTATGTTTCGGCTACGCAATACTTAACGTCGAAAGGGACAATTCTCAGAACCCGCACAATTCCAGGAAACACGCGTAGCTAGGTTACCATTCTCACTTACTACAGTAGACGCTCGTTTTTACGAACTCGTAGGGACTACGAAAACAGTTCGTTAAATCGAGAGTTCGTAATTTAGAAAGGCATTGGAAATTGTTACTATTTCACATTTTAATGTTTTCGAGACAGGTTAGTGATATTATTCCATGCTTTTATTTATGTATTAGGAATTATTTTTAATAGTGTTACTACTTAATAAATGATATCCATTCTATTAAACAAACAAGAAATATAAAATATTTGTAAAACGTACCTTTATTAAGTAATTGAGCAACAGAATAATCACTTATCTTTGTCTGTTTTAAAACAACAGATTGTACAATGCAAGACTCCATCTTCTCTATATTTGTTAGCATTTCATAATTATCACTGGCCTCAAAAAATCGTCTAAGTTCTGACAAGTATTCAGCAGCTTGTTTTAAAGTCGGTCTTGGTGTTACTTCATTTTCTTCTTCTTCTTCTGGATCTGAAAGTCTCTCATTCTCGTTGATTATGCTGCTAATAATATCGTGATCCGATATTTCCTCCGTGCAGATGACATTAGAATCCACATTTAAAAAATCCTCGAATGAAAGTTCTGGCAACTGTGGATTTCTACGGCGAAGTTCATTCGTGAGAACCTCATCTTCGTCGTGAGATCTATTGTCATGGATTTCTTCAGTTACGTCTGTTTCTTTAAAACCTGTATGTCGAAAGGCTTTAGAAATTGTTTCATCTAAAACATCATTCCATGCACTGATTGATAAATGCATTGCACCAAGAATATCAATCTGATAAGGTTGTTCCCTTTCCAAGCCAAGGATTACTCTTTGCAAGAGCACTGTCTTATATTTTCGCTTGAAACTATTGATTATCCCCTGATCTATTGGCTGTAAAACTGCAGTTGCATTTGGTGGGAGATATTCCACACGGATTGCCTGAAGCCCAGTGACTTCCATGTGTGCAGTAGAATTGTTCACGATTAGGAGAACTTTGCGCTTCTGTGCTGAAAAACGGTTATCTAAATCTCTCAACCATTTTTCGTAGATGTTGCCAGTCATCCAGGCCTTATTATTAGCATAATATGCAGCAGGAATCTTCTGAACATTTTTGAAACACCTTGGTTTCAGATATTTTCCCATAAAGAGTAGAGGCAATTTTTGTGACCCAGTCATGTTGGCTGCAATCAAAACTGTAAGTCTCTCTTTAGCTTTATTATCTCCAACACATTTATATCCTTTGTAAGCTAATGTTCTTTTTGGCAAAATCTTAAAAAACAAAGCCGTTTCGTCCGCATTAAAAACGTCATCTGCAGCGTATTCAGAAAGAAGCAATTTCAACTTTTCTTCTTTCCATTCATTTGCTGATGACGTGTCTACTGCTGCACTTTCACCACACACTTTCCGGAAACTCAAACCATTCCGAAATTTAAATTTCTGTATCCAACCATCCGATGCTTTAAAATCTTTGATGTTTAATTTGGAAGCAAAAAAGTGTGCTTGTTCTTTAAGTACATTTCCATCAATTGGAATGTTTAAGCTTCTCATCTTTCGAAACCAAACAAGCAAAGCCCTTTCCAAATTTGGGTGTTTTGATTCTCGAAAATATTTTCGAGAGGAGGGTCCACATTCATCGTTTCCGTTTTTAGCTCCAAAGATCTTCTCTCTTGCCTTTAGAATCGTCGATAAACTATTTTTAGGAATTCCATATTTCTAAGCAATTTGTGTCTTGCTTAATATTTTTTCGTTAACTTCTTTTAAAATCTTCTTTATTTCAACCGCTAAACAAATTCGTTTCTTCATTTGCGACATAGCTCTAAGAATCTTACTTAACAAAAACTGGCCCAATCTCCCTCTCGACTAACGAGACTTCACTGATTGAGTTGTCCAGATCAAATGATTATGACATTACAAAAAGCAACAACTCTCTTTTAGAAGCAACCCAAACCCCTTTAACACGAATGGTCTCACCCCCACCCAACAACATCAGGCCGATGCTCTTCTGAGAGCCTCCCACAACAAACAACACCATAAATTTGTCCTAATCGTCGATAAACTATTTTTAGGAATTCCATATTTCTGAGCAATTTGTGTCTTGCTTAATATTTTTTCGTCAACTGCTTTTAAAATCTTCTTCTTTATTTCAACCGCTAAACAAATTCGTTTCTTCATTTGCGACATAGCTCTAAAAATCGTCTCCGCCCCTCCTTCCTTACTGTACTTCTTCGAATGTTTCGCACTTGCTGCCTCAAAATAGTTGGAGATTTTATTTGACCTTCACACTTCGTTCCAATGAAACACGCAGAAGTATGAAAACTGAGTTCGCAAAAAAGAGATTTTCCTGATTTGTAGTTCGTAAATAAGAGCGCAAAATTACATTACATCTATGGGAGTGTATTCGGGACCATTCGCTAGTTCGTCAAATCGAGAGTGTTCGTAAAAAAGAGGTTCGTAAAAACGAACGTCTACTGTACAAAGATTTGAACGCCAAACAGTAATCGACTATCGCTCAAATTGGGAATCACGTGATCCCTTAGAAGCAGAACTTTCGTCTGATTGGTTGTCTCTACCCACGACCCGAGACATTTTCGGTGAGGTTTGAAAAATTCCCGCGTAGCCGTAACATTGCTTCCGTAGCTAGGCGGGACTTCGCTTCCAGCGGGGCTCTTTTTTCTAGGAATCTTCCCATTTAAACCAGTGCTACCAGAATCTCGTTTCTCAGAAAAGTCCCGTCTAGCAGGGACTGTAGCCATATGTTATAACCTCTTTAGGTATGGGGGCAACTTCCCCTTGATAAGTCTGTCTCCTGCCTGCTCAACAATTTTTCACTTATGCAATTTTTTGGAATAATATATTTTTTCATGGTTTTAAATAAGTGCAATTACTTTACATATGCTCTTAGAATTTAAATGATATTGTAAATTAATTTGCAGCAATAATAATTATTTTGATTTTTTTGCAATTAAAATTTCTTAATTAAATTTTAAGTTTTAATTTTATATTTGCTTTATACGAAAAGAGAATATTTTGCTAAATTCAAATTTTGGATTGTTGTGTATATATATAATATATATATATTGTATATGATATCGTCATAACAAGGAAAAGTTTAACGTACCTTGTATCCATGTTACCTTAAACGCTGGATACTTTACAAGACGGCGATTTTAGTAACACAAAAGTTTTATTTTCAGCTCTACTCTCTGGTTTTATAATTTTTTTGAAAATTTCAGTTTGTTTAAAATTTAAAGAGCATTTTTATTAATTATTGTGATTTTTTCATTTTTATCTTAGAAGAGGTAACCATACAAGGCTATAGAATCCCTAAAGGAACGATAGCTTTGATGAACATGTGGTCAGCTCATCATGATCCGGAGGAATATGAAGAGCCTTATAAATTTGATCCATCACGATATATAGTTAAACTGGGCAAAAAGAAACCAGAACTTCCATTTACTTTTGGAAGAGGTAAGTAATTTCCTATTTCTTGCTCTTGGAAGAAATTCTCTTAGTGTGGAATTTAAATTAGTTGATAAGTAAATGTGGACGATTCAAAGTATTTACATATCAGGATACTGTTGTGTGTTATCAACTGTATCTCTAATGACAGTCCGAAAAAAATTAATTACTATTTAAATATTTATCTACAAAAATAACCATTCCATCAAATTTAAGTTACATTAAGCATTGCTTTACTGTCAACTTTTGCTGCTTTTATTGCCACAATTATTCACGAGCTCGTAAGGTATATTTTAATGCTATAACAGTTATTTTAATTTCGAAACTCTTTCCTATCAATTCTTGTTTCCACTTACAACTCCCCAACAGAATGAGATTTTGGAATCGCGTTGAGTGCAAATGAGTTATAAGAAGTATTTAAGGAAGATTCAGCTTAATTCAATTGAGAGTGCTAGTTTTCCCTAGTGGCGCGCGTTTGCCTTCTGGCTAAGGCATTCTTGAAGCTGTTACGCTCGGCCGTATTACACGTGCCTATTGATATTCGGCCGACTAGTTCAAGTTAAGGGCCAACTACATTAGACAATTGTGTCTAACTTCGGCTTAGTCTGGTTAATTAGTTTTGGTTTCTTATTTCTTATTCTGAGTTAAAGCCCGAGCAGAGGCTTTCTTGTAAGCCCGAGAAGAGGGCCAACTGTTATTCTTATTTGCGTGCATAAAAGGGTATTTAAACTCTTCTCGAGTCTACGTCTTAATTGTTTTAAACTCAGCCATAAGTCGCTACATAATTCACTAGGTCTCTCGATGTTTTATCACAGACAAAGGGCAAGGAACACTACAAGCTTTATATCACAGTTCTGCTGAAAAATAAGTAATAAATAAAGATGCGCTGATTTTTAAAACGCATATGTAATTTGCGTAAAGCGCAGTCCCAGAAACAAAGCAAAACTGCCTAAAAGTTACGTTATCATTTTTGACTTCAGCCTTCAAATAGCAATCTAAGAGTGTTACGATAAATATCAGATACATTTAAGACATCTTTTTTAAAATGATATACATGAGTAAGCTGTAGGAGTATTGCACGAAGTTCAATGCGAAAAACTTGTTGAAAAGGCATTTCATTACTACGTCATATTTAAACTTCGGGGTCATTCGTAATTGATCAAACCATCTCGAGAAGACCTAGATCTGGGCGCCGAAGATGAAACCTGTATCTCAATAAAATGTTGCCGGTAGCGTCGATGAGCGTGGACCAAGTTGTAGGAAGACCTACTAATGTCTTTTTTCACCAGCTCATGTCAGATCCCAGTTCATTTAGACTCATAAGCGTTTAAGGTGGCACCAGTATCAGAGGATGATATCATATTAATAAAGCACTGTTTACGGACGAGTCTCGATTTAAGGCCCAGAACTATTCTCGAAAATTTAAATATAGACAGAACCTACAACTCGATAATAAGCGACAATTAACACAGGAAGAAACCTTTACAGAACAGACTATTAAACACTGCCGATCTGTCGTTTGTTTCAGAGATATTTATAGCGAGTGACTGGGCCGATGAAATGGCTTCCGACCACGGAGGTGAACCAAACGGAATTGTGTACCATCCCAGAGAGGAAATCTGCTATCTGTCGAAACGGTGATAAATTAATAATAATAATAATAATCTAGTAATATACAAACGATCCCAAAGCTTTGAGCAGCATAATTACTGTGCGCGACTTCTAAGTATAAAAATTGTTGTGCAAGATAAGAATTGGTATTGTTGTTTTCGTTGCTGATGTTCACTTTATAAGGTATTTCTCCCGCCTTCCTTGGCACGCCTTCGTGGTGTGGTGGTCTGCATACTGGGCGCATATTCTAAAGGTTCGAGGTTCGATTCCTGGCGAAGGCATTGCTCATTTTTCATTTCTCGTGCTTCCAAAAATTACCTAATGTATCTACAGTGACGCCCGAACTAAAAAACAAGGATTGTGGATAATGATTCTCCACAGCCAGGATTTGGCGATTGGGTTCCTTAAAACCCCAGTCGTCCTTTGAAAGAGGAAGTATGTAAGGCATTTCTCCTACCCAGTTCGCATGCCTTCGTGGTGTGATGGTCTGCACGCTGGGCGCGTATTCTAGAGGTCCGTGGTTCAATTCCCGGGGAAAAGCGATTGCTCATTTTCATCTCGCCTGCTTCAAAAAAATACCTAGTATCTCTACAAGATGATTTTTTCGGTTTTCCATCTTTCCTGCTTCGAAATAACCTAATGTCTCTACAACTTGTCTAACCTACAGTCAGCCCAGGCCCACGAAATTCCTCATGGCAAGGAGTGCAAGTTTACGCCTTTGGCAACAACCTTAAGCACCTTACAGATGACAGCACAGTTTTGTTAGATTTAGCTCAGTCACGACCCGAATTTTGATGGAGAGCACCCCGGTGGGACGGGTGCAAGGGTCTTCCACACCTCTTCGCCTATCACCAACCTCTCGAGAGGATTTTCCGCTCGCTGTGTATTTAGAGCGACCGCACGTACGGACTCTCTACATTTACACTCATCACTGCCGTCTCAGGGGTTCGAACCCGGGCCCTTCGGCACGGCAGTCAGCGACGCTAACCACTATAACGGTTGAGCAGCTGATAAGAATTATATTGTAAGGCAATAAAATAAATTGTGTGCGATGTCTATTACCATTAGGCATGCGTTCTGGTGATTCTGCAAACTCCATTGTAAATTATATGTAAAATAAGCTAACTTACTATAGATTAATAGGATACTACCGAGGCACGTTGCAAAATAACACAATATTGTATATATGAAAATGAGAATATAACGTAATAAAACATAAATGCATGACGCATATAGGAGCAGATAAATTCAAAATATTACTTACAGTGATATACTGTTGAAAGCAATTCTTTGAGAAATAATACTTAAGAAAATCTTGCGTATATAGTATGCTATATATCTGCTATATAGTATGATGTTTACTGTTCGAATATAATATCTTATTTTACAGAAAAGAACTAAGTATTACTAATAATACTAATATTTACGAAAATCCAGTTCACAGAGAATTAATTCTACCTTATTTACCAATAAAGAATGAAACGTAAACACTGAAAAGTACATTTTGCTAATATTTATGATAGTTTAAGACTTATGCTATAATTCTATTTTGCAATAACAAAAAAATGGTGTGCATGTCATATAATAATAAATATATACAAAATATTGCAGTAATACGCATATAAAACAACTACATAAAGAGCTACAGTAAAGTCCATAAGCATATGAATCCAATAAAATTACAGGGGTATGAGAGATAGGATACTTAGAGAATGAAGCAATTCTATATGTACAAATCTGCAATGCAAATTTGAATACGATAAAGTAGTAACACAAATCAAGAAGACGGCTGCAGGCTGCAGCATCTCATTATGTATATATATCCTTCAAGAACTCCGGTATTTGTTTCTGGAAAAATGGACATTTTTCTGCAAATAACAGATCTGTAATGCTATAAACACACAAATCGTTTTATCGAGCTTGCAGCTCTCTGAGAGGATATCACACGCACTATTTGAAACATGTTTCCACTAAATATTTCTAACGTAGAATTTGTTTGCCAAAATTTCATACTCATAATTTATACAGTTTATGGTTACTTTACGTTTTGCTAGGTTGCTTTGTCCAGCCGTAAAAGTTTATTTTGTAAACTTCAGATAAAATCATTAAATAAATTTATTTTTATTCACAATGAAACTTTGTGTTCTAATTTTTAAGCAGTAGTGTATTACTGCGAAGTTTAGCCAAGAAGATAAGGTTACTGGCATTTTATATTGATGTGATTTTCTAGGCCAAGATAACGCCATGATCGCGATGGTTTTAGTCACTAATTTTTGTCGTCAAGTTTGGCGAGAAATTGCCATATGTCGCCAAACTAAATTTCCATTTGGCAACATTTCGGTCCGACTAGTGTATAACTGTAACTCCTTCAATCTCCGTGTAAGTGTAACTGCATCCGATGTCGATAAGTTTCCTTCTAACAATTTCGAGAAATCAAAAGCACTGAAATTTCTCGGCGAACGTGAGAAGACTATATAAGACTAGAGAAAGCATCAGTTTAGTTAAGTTCAGAGTCTAGCTTATAATGCTGAGATCACACTGTGAAATTATTCATTTGATGCTTTTTACATTGTCTTGCGTTTAACATTCTTAGAAGTTTGAAGTGACAACTATTGATTGTGCTCTGTTATACTGGCAACAGTTGTAGGAGTACTTCTGTGAATGGTTTCAGAACTCTAAAGTCTTCCTTTTCAAAAAAATAAATTTTATCAAGCTATTGACGTGCATTCAATCCATTACAAACCAATGCGCAAGCAACAAAATTTTCATTCTAGGGCTTATATGGCTTAAGAAATAATAACACTGCTTAATCTATTATTATTTTAATTAGAGTTTATTATTGACATACTTTAAATAAACACAAATAATTTTCACACTTTGAAAGCTATTTTTGAAGTTGAAAATAGCTTTTAAAGTATCACAGCTAAGAACTTTTAGTTTCTCAATCTTTCTCTTTAAATATGCTTTTTAAATATGCAAAATGCAACTTGTGGGGGTTTTATTTTAATTTTCGAATAGTTATTTTTATTTTGGAACAAGCCTTTCTCTTACTTTCTTGTTTCCCACATACGTCTCCCTACCAGTTTTCCCTCCTTACCGAATGAGCTTTTAGGATTACGCTTTATGTAATTGATGTAGAAACAAGTAGTTAAACTGATGTTTAGGTCTCTTTACTAGAAAAGCTTAGGAGCACGTGTCTGCCTTCCGGCCAGGTTGTTACTGCTAGTCTAATCTTTCTTCTATGTGCCCGTGAACACGCGCCTGCTAGCATTCGCCGGTGATTTTAAATAAGGGTCAACTTTGTAAGTTAATTCTGTACGGCTTCGGCTGATTTTATTATAGTTAGTAGTAGAGTATTTCTTATTTTCTATCTTGAATTAAAGCCCAAGTGGAGGCTCATTGTAAGCCCGAGAAGAAGCCATCTGTTAAATTATTTTGAGTTAGAATAAAAGGTAAATTAACCCTTCCTTAGACTTATCATTTGCTTACAGTACTCTGCGATAAGTCACTAAATAGTTCTTCAATGTTCTACTCCTCAATTTAGCTAGGATGTTACAAACGTAAATCTCGAAACTTTTTGTTACATTTTTCTGATACGTTAGTAATTGAACAACTTCATATTTCTATAAAGTAATACAAATGCGATCTCAAACACATAGCGGTAAATTAGCTGTCCAACTGACCAAGTTCTATAACGTTGGTTTCAAATTTCCAAGCTCGATAAGCTGGATTAAGGAATCATCAGTTGAAATTCATGCAAGTCATTAATTTTGCACTTAATTTTCTTCTAATACGCTCCATTTGCTTTTTCCTTAGGTAAACGGTCATGCATTGGAGAAGCTTTTACAATGATGCATGTCTTTCTCTTCCTAACAAATATTGTAAAGAATTTTCGCCTTTCGTTGCCCGAAGGAGAAGAAACCAATACGTCTTTGTATTCTCTGAAACTGAACTTATGCGCAAAATCAAGGTAACAGAAGTAGGAGAAATGGACTTGATGAAATTGTTCAACTTTTTATTTTTCCTTTTAACATGTGTGTAACAAATGTAAAACATTTAATTTTTAAATAAACAATTACATGGAAGTATGAAAATATTTATCATATTTTACAGATTTACAACAATATGCAATTATCTTGAATAATTATCTTGACTAATTAGACCACATACCATGCGAACGTTCGAAACGTTCAAATAGTTGAATTTCCTTTACTCCTATACATCAAATACATATTAAGTATAATGTAAGTGAAAAACAAAATGCGCTTTTGGTTCTTCATTGCCACAAAGGTTGCTCAATTAGATACGATCCCAATCATTTCTAATGTGCCCCTGAACACTGTTACACCAGTGGTTTTTAACAGGGTCGATACAGCTCATCAGTAGGCGCTGAAGAGATCTGTCACATCTTACCTTAGTCGAGACTGGAGTCATATTCCATAAAGATATGTTAAAGAAACTGTAATGAGAATGATAATTCAACAACTAAATCATGGGTTCGCATCTACACTAAGCAGGATGTTTTGTATTGTCATGAAAGGCAAAAGTCATTTCAATTTTCACGAAGACACTTTATAGAGCCACAAACACATACACGGACACAACAACCAAAATGTCCGTTTCAAAAATCGGTACAAAATGGCATTGAGCAACATCGATCCATCTGATTCTTACACATTCTAGAAGCTGACGTCGTTACCCCAGCTTCAATTCATTTCAATTCGCAACACCTGCTTTTACAACTATCATTTTAGATGAAAGTATATTAGATTAGCATATATATATTATATATATATTACCGGGTGATCAAAAAGGCAGTATAAATTTGAAAACTTAATAAATCACGGAATAATGTAGATAGAGAGGTAAAAATTGACACACATTTAGAATGACATGGGGTTTTATTAGAACTGTCGTGGAAACTCCATTGCCCGACGAGAAAGTCACGGTATGGGTTGGATTTACCACATCTACTGTTATCAGGCCTTTTTTTTTTTTCCGAGGAAATGCGTGATTCTGGTTTTGTAAGTGCTACCGTGACGGGTGAGAGGTACGCCGATATGTTCAGAATCGCATCGTCCCCAGCCTGGCTGATAAACACCTGCGAACATACGATTTTAATGCAGAATGGCGCTCCACCCCATATTGCAAACGCGTGAAAGGTCCTTGCGCGCGTCGTTTGGTGATCGTGTGCTCCAGCCGCCACTTCGTATACCTGGCCTCCGGTCCCAGACCTCAGTCCGGGCGATTATTGGCTTTGGGGTTACCTGAAGTCGCAAGTGTATCGTGATCGACCGACATCTCTAGGATGCTGAAAGACAACATCCACGCCAATGCCTCACCAAACTCGGACATGCTTTACAGTGCTGTTCACAACATTATTCCCGACTACAGTATTGTTGAGGAATGATGGTGAACATATTGAGCATTTCCTGTAAGAACATCATCTTTGCTTTGTCTTATGGTTGCTAATTATTGCTTTTGATCAGATTATTGCTTTTCTAATAAACCCCCCATGTCATTCTAAGTATGTGTGTCAATTTTTACCTCTCTATCTACATTATTCCGTGATTTATTAGTTTTCAAATTTATACTGACTTTTTGATCACTCTGTATATATATATATATATATATTAGAAAGACAGGCATCACATGAAAGTCGTTCAATACAATCACAGAAGAAACATAAGTGGAATTCCTCAATGGTAGCAAGCGTGTCAATTTGAAAGTCTGCCATGAAATATGAACGAGGTCAGATATTTCACCGATGGCTGCCACAGAGAAACCGACTTTCCAGTCACAAATTGACCCAACCGGACAAGAGGAACAAATTGGTAGCCACATCTTTGGAATCTTTCTACTATTTAAAAGTTCTCCACACAGTATCAACCTCCGAATGCCAAAGGTACACAGAAAGATGTCGTAAATATCTGGTTTGAAGAGGACACGTCTGCGAAGAAAAAGCTGAAAAAGTAGAGGAAACCGAAGAAGCTGGAGATTCACTATCACAGGGGTCGGAAAATTCCACACAGATCTAGGTGAACACTTTTAGTCCAAGGTTAATTTAGGAGGGCTCTGAGGGCCAAATTTCAGCTCCCCAAGAAACACTACCAAAACTGTGCTGTAAAATTTGATTAATACTAATATTTATTGATGCATTTTTAATAAACATCAGTTCTAAATGTCGTTCAACCTTCAGAGTTGCTTAAAATAACAAAACGACTGAAATCCGCAGCAATTTCCTCCACCCCTTCAACAAAAGAAGAAGTTTGAAAGAGGTTTGAAAATTTCAAATGTATCATTTCTAATTGCGTTCTGTTATATTTTCTATTACAGATCATGGGGATCTCGGTGGTTCTGGTGACTGTGGTCGTAGCGTTTTTTCTAATACCTTTCCAATTAGTACATAAATGAGTCGCAAAGTGCACAGTTAAACGGAGTACCGACCGCAATGTATGTGCGGATGTTCCAACTTGTTGTTATAAGCTTTGTTGATACGAGGCTTGTAATTACAAGGCCAATAGTATGAATAGTGTCGCCCGATACTGGTTATCATTAATATGGAACCAAATATCGAAAAATCAGTGTTATTACACTAAGCTCAGCTAACTCACTGATAATATTATATTAATTTCTTCATAATATATGTTTTCAAACCAAACATTCAGCATTACACTAGTAAGAAAGCTAACAGATTTTAATAAAGTAATTTTAGAAATCTATCTTTATTTTTTAATTTATAAGGAATTCTCTCCCTCTCTCCAGCATATGCCTTCGTCGTGTATCTGGAAGCACACTCGACACGTTATAAGGTATTTCTCCCGCCTTCTTAGCGTGCCTTCGTGGTGGCTGGGCGCGTATTCCATAGGTTCGTGGTTCGATTCCCGGCGAAGGCTATGCTCATTTTTCAAACTCCTGCTTTAAAAATAACCTAATGTATATACGGTGGCGCCCGAGCTAAAAGGGTGGTGGACGATAATTCTCTACACCCAGGATTTGGTGATTGGGTCCCAGTCGCCCTTTAAAAGGGGGAGTATATAAGGTATTTCTCCCGCCTTCTTATCGTGCCTTCGTGGTGTAGTGGTCTGCAGCTGGGCGCGTATTCCAGAGGTTCGTGGTTCCATTCCCGGTGAAGGCGTTGCTAATTTTTCATGACTTCTGCTTCCAAAAAAATTCTGTAGAACGTACATTTTAGAACAGTACAGTCTTAGAACGTACACTAGCATTGTACATTTTTCATATCTTCAAAATAAAAAAATGACTGCACAATTTTACTGTAATATTCTTAATTCAGTACAGTATTGATTTTTCATGCATCAAATACTTCACCTAAGAGAGGCGGCACTATTGAATCACTGTTTGAAAGAGTTGACAAACTATGAGTCACACTACCGATTTCAAGTTACAAGAACTATTGCAAGTTAACAAAAATGCATGTTAGACAAGTTAATAAGTTACAGGGAGACATGAGAAGAAATCATTTCAGTCCTTATAATTTGTATTAATGCTTCGCTAAATTTGAACATATAATCTTATTTTTATTTTTATGAAATTGATATCAAATAAGGAAAATTTTTTAAAATTTTCAGATAAAAAAAGGTATAACTAAACTCAGAAAATAATTTTTATTGACGCATCATAATAAAATTAACAATAAAATATAGTACCCACCGCTTACTAGCCACATTAAATAAAAGTAAACTATTATTATTCCAGATTTCCATAAAAGGAAGTGGTATATACTTGTTTATAAGAAAATTCTATGTTAGTAAAGTCCTCGTAGCCTTTTTAAAATTTAGAGTTCAATTTCAAAATATCCTATTAATTCTTCAACGTCAAAATATCCTAATAATTCCTACTAATACTATTAAGCTGTTTGTATTTTATCCTTTCAAGGAAAATTTAATGGGTATATTTTTCAGCAGTTTTGAAAAGATTTTCTGACGGTAGAGTGCAATTTGTATGAGAAGAGAATGGTTGCTTTCTGCTTAAAAGATCGGGGACAGAGAAAGTATTTGTTATGGTTATAACCACGAAATGAAAGAGCTCATGATTTTAGATATCTTTCTACTCATGCGAAACGTGAGTGATGAATAGGAACAAATCTCTGATTAAATTATGTCTTAATTTCTTGTCTACGTAATGAGATACATTCCGTTGACCTCATTGATCGCGTGACTTTTGTAAACCTTTTGTAAACAAGCAAGGCAGATGACCTCAGAGATCACGTGACTTATGTACAGCTAATGCAAAGCAAGGTCATTCTTCCTCTTCTTCTCTTGCGTAATGTATCTCATTTTTACAAATAGATAATACTTAAAGGTTAAATTTTAGGTCTGAAAGAGAGGAAGAAATATTTCAAAGATTATACTTTTGCTACAGCTAAAGAGATATTAAATTTAAATTCAGAATTTCCGAAGCATCATAGCGCAGTTTGTACTCAAAAAATCACCTAAAACTGATGAAGAATTAATAAACATGTATACGTCTCAAAGAAGCACGAAAGGGATGAAAAATAAAGAATCTTATCTGTAAGGCTAAAATTTTCTTTTTACTTAAAGCTTTTTTGACCGCAACAGCTGTGGAATTCTGCAAAATGTTAATAGAAGATTTTTGAGAACTCACAAGATGAAAAGAGAGAGATAACTGTTTTCTCTCTGCTTTTCGTATGCCTCTGTGGTATAACGGTAGCACACTTGACGCATATAACCAGAGGTCCAGGTTCGAGTCCCGCCGACGTCATTGCTAATTTTTCATGCCTCCTATTTCAAAATAACCTACTGAATCCCCAGCTGTATCGAATGGAACTACTTGGCGAAAAAAAAGATGGACATCATTTGTCTGATAATTGAATTAAAGGCATTTTATAGATTGATAAAGGAATAAAAGCTACAGAATATTTACATTACAGAAGAAACTGTTCCCTTCTCACACTATATTTAAATCTGAAACAATAAAACAATAGCTGGCTATAAGAAATAGAAGGCAGGACGTGTTGTATTATTAAAATGTAGCATAGATAAACAGTTAAAATAAAACTGCTAGTTTTTTGATGAAAGCAGAAAATCCAGATGTTTGTT